TGCATCAGGACCAGATTTGGGTTGGGTTTTTTTTTCATTTTTCTGGCCATGCTTCAGGGGGAAGGGAAAAAATATAAATTATGACTGAGAAGAGCAGCACATTTCAGATATCACCAAACTGATACAGGCCATTTTGGGATTAGCTACTTATTAGCTACAAATTATATTAGCTACAAATTATAGCACTGTGAAATAAATACACACACTGATGAGTTTTCACTATAGCAGTTTTGTAGATTAGAATGTGCTTAAACTATATAAATTGTGCTTTATTTATAGGTTGAAATTATTCCACAACAGTGATTTATACCAGTAAAATACTACCTTAGGGATGTAAAAAAAAATCAGGTCTATTGAGAGTTGAGAGATTATATATACAAAGATTTTTCAAGACACAGCAATTCCACAGGTATTTTTGAATTATACAACTAAAACAGGAAAGGCCACTGAGAGATAGGGAGTGTAAATGGTGGTTTATATTTGCATATATCTTTATATGATGTTATAACTTTATGTATTGTGCAGGGCAGAACAATTGTGAAATCTTCACCAATTTCTTTATTCAGCATTAATTACTTCATTAGTTGAAAAAATTAAACCATTCCTCTCAACCGTTGTTCTTAGAAGCTCTAAGTTATTCTCTTTTTTGTATTGTAGTGTTTTGCTTAAAATTGAAGCTTTTGGCTACTTCTAGAATCAGCTGATTTAGCATTAAGTGCAGGACAAATTTTACATTTTTTATACATTGGTCTGAGAATCTGACTATTTAAAAATATTGGAGATTGATAGATAACACATGGTTGTAATTTAAGATGTATTTTGTTCATGTGCTCAGTATCTGATGAGATGCTATGAAATATACTAAAAATTCATTATTTGAATAGTCTCTCTTGGTAAATAATCATCATCTAGATAATCTATGGATTTCTATATTAATGAGTTGTTACAGTTATGTAAATGCAATATAATACACTGTACATAGCATTTTCAAGTGTCTGAAATAATTTATTCAGTACTCTAAAGAAGTGTAAAACCCTGGGAAAAAGATGATATCATTACATAGATTGCTGCTGGGTCCTCAATCAAATTATTTTCCATGCTGAGTAGATTTTCTGAAATCTGAGCTTTTGATACTTCCCTTTATTGAAGCAACAAGAGCATATGCTGCTGGATTTCTTTGTTCTTTTATAGTTGAGTTCAGCAGGGTCGTATCACAAACACACCTGAGCTTCTTGTAGTTCACCTGTGTGCTGCTGTTATACTCCCATTTCCTAGCGTGACTCAGCCACGTTGTCACCAAAGTTTAAAGAGTGTTTACACAATCTCACTTCAGCATAATGGGTAATGAACCTCAAATGAATCCTGCTGGTGTGTAGGATAAGAAATTTCCACTTCAACCTATTGTCTCTGAATGAGGTTGTAAAACGTGCCTATATTGTTCATCCAGGAAGTGTGAAGTTGTAAAAAACAAGCTAAACTGCCATATTTTATCTGCTGGTTACTTCTGCATTTATTGCCTTTATGGACCCAAAGCCCTCCAGGGAGTGTGACAAATCCTGATTGTATTTTCTACTTACAGCTTTTATTTGTTCATAGATGTGGAAAGAAGAAGAACTATTAGTCACTGGGGATTTGTCTAGCTATGTGTGTGGCTAATTAAGAACTGGTTCCGCTTTAGTTGCATTTTCATTATTCTACCTATTTTTGGTCCAATGTCATGCACAGCCTACATCTGTAAATCTTCATTCCTCATCTGGGAAGTGTAAATACTTTAGTAACCTTAGAGTAGTTGCCTAACTGGTTGGATAGTTGTTGTATAAACAGAATATGGTTTCTGTTCCATAATTTGTCCATTTCTCCAACTGATTCACCCTCTTTCTAGCTTCCTTACACTTTTATTTCTATCTTACATTATGGGGTTCTGATGTTGCAGAAGTTAGGAAGAGCTTTGGCTCTTGAAAGAATAGCTGGTTTGCTTCTCCACTGGTACCAGTACAAACAGACCAGAGAAGGGAGTTCAGGTGTTAGGAGCAATAGATATACAAAGCTTGGAAAGGTCATTCTCTGCCAGGTAGATTTTTGTTTTGCTTCTAATGCTGAAACCTTTGTGAATCTTACTACAGTACACGCCTAAATAATTAAACTTCCAAATTAGAAAAATACATAGTATGCAGCATATAGTCATTTCGCGAAGGCTTTTAGATCATGTGAGTTTGAATCATTTCCTTTGAGGCATTCTCTAAATGTATTTATTAGAGGAAGCTGCATATTTGGAAATGAAAACTAGCCTCATCAAAACCTGCATTTGCAAATTTGTGATGTTCTGGTTGTCAGAAATAAACAATGTTGGTAGGAAAAAAATTTAGATTTCTCTAAGCTGTGTTATTGAAAATATATGTCATTAACCACAGAATGCTAGGAAATAAGTAACAGTTTGGAAATACGAATAAGAAGCATGAGTTACATGGGGAAAACATTATTCTGTCACAATCCTTTTCTGTTTTGGAAATTTTGAGTAGCTGTGGTTGTATCTTGTTAGGAAACGCTATTGTTTTTGAGCTCAGTTCTGTCCTTCACATACAGTGTATCAGGAACAATATATTTTAGTCTTCTCAGCCTTCTTTTCCTGCATGGATTATGTCAACAGGATGGATCTTATTCAGAAACTTTATCTTCTATAACTTGTACTTTAGTGTTATGACAAGAACTGGGGAGAGAAAGGAACTGAGTTTATGGGAAAATAAGGTATCACTGTTTTTTCCAGACAATTAATTTGAATCTGTTTTTCAAAAATCCCCCTGTCAAGAGCAATGTAAGGAATGTTGCCAAAACACTGCCCAGATCAGCTGTCCCCTCACCAAGGCTGGTGTAATGGTTAGGGTTCAAACCCCAGCCCATGCTGACTACCTTTTGGTGGTAATATATTGAGGTTTTTTTTCTCTGTAAAACATTAACCCAAATTCTGCTGGACGGTTTGATGTGACAGGAAATCTATCCATCTCCATTTTCAGTTTTCAAAGAAGCCAGAGGGGGTGATGCACCCAGCTACTGCGGAATTTCAATAAGATTTGGGTACTCAGTCCCTGTTAACCTCTGAAAAATCATAGGCCCTGCGCCCCAAGCTTCCACACAGATGTACCACCGTTTTGGATTCTTTTCCTCACCCTCTTATTTCTCCCTTTTTGGTGTTAAACACAGGAGAGAAAACCAAGATTGGTGCAAGGAGAAAGATTAGGTGATTAAGCAGAGTCCATGTGCAAAATCAGCAACACCTAAGCCCAACCTGCAACCTCCAGTCACTGGTCTCCAAGTTTCATGTAAAACCTTGTGAATATTCCGTCAGTTTGCAGCCTTCTTTGGCAGTTGACATTTACCACATGGCAGCAAGAGGCTGAGCCAGGCCTGGGGCTGCAGCTGGGCCAGCCCACACCAAGCTGGCCATGGAGGCCAAGCAGAGGAAGGCCCACCGCCAGGCACTGCTGTCTCCTCTGGAGCAGGCACTGTCTGAAATGGCAGGGAAGCTACAGGCAGTAAGTGGATGATAGGCTTTGCTTTGTAGCTCAGTTCAGCTGCTGCCATTCCTGGTGCCTTTCTGTACATAATACTGAGCCTGAACCCATGGCTGCGCAGCAGAGCGCTCTGCACAGATCCTTGATTGGTGTTTCCTCCCAGCACAGTCTGGATGAATGCTATAATGGGTGTGAGACCACCCATTTTTTATTTTGCCAGTCTCATGCTCAGCTTAATCATCTGAAAGAATGTGGCTCTGTAGTCGGAGCACTGCAAGGATTTCCTTCTGGAGATCACCTTTCTGAGCCCCGGACATCGCTAATAAGCAGTCGGGCATTGCAGGATGTGTGGAAATGTGCTACAGAGCATCCAACCTCACCAAGTGATGCTGGCAAGCCTAAAGAGGGGCGAGGAGTGCTGTGAAAGAGCAACGAGCAGTGAAGAGAGGAGGCGACAGCACAGAGAGCTTCTGAGGGCCCTGCGTACCTGCGGGACCCTGGGCTGTGCAGGGAGGGGCGGCTGCACGGCGCCGCCGCCCCGGAAATGTCGCCTCGCTTCAACGTTTGTCTCGTTTTCAATCCGGATTGCCCCGCTACGGGGCGCGCGGCCGCTAGGGGGCAGCGCGCCTGTTCCCCTCCGACCGTTATTCCCGCCCTCTCCTCGCCGTTATTCCTTAACCCCTCACCGGCCGTTATTCCCTTAACACACCTCCCCACACCCTCCCCGGGGCCGTTATTCCTGCCCCCCCTCCCCGCGGCCACGCCCGTGGCTGGTGTGGAGACCCACCCGAAGGGAAGGAGCAGAGCGTGGGCTGACTGCGCGTTCCCCTCCTTCCCCAGCGCTCCCCGCAGCGGCTCTGAGGCAGACCAGATGTAAGAATATTTGGGTAAAGTCAGTCTAATGAGCACAGCATACTTCCTCTTTCGAGTGTTTCTTCTCTCTGCTGAGGGATCTCTTATGTAACTTGACACTGCGGTCTCAAGTTTTCCCTGTTTTCAGTTGACCTCATTTCAGTGAGCTAAATAAAATACGTGCAATTGGTGGTTTAAACAATATTTCAGAATTTGTACCGGGCCTGTAGCTATTTACTTCTCTAAGCTTTCTTACATAGCCTATGGAAGTTTATAGTTTTCTAAGAAAAAAAGTAATTCTCCTTACATGTGGAAGACATTAAATGATATCTGGTTTTGCTTCTTGTTTTGCGTTTGTACACCATCATTCTTTCAGAAAGTAAACATACATGAATTTTATGTAAAAATAAAGCTCTTGGATTTTCTTTTAATTGCTCTGTAGAGAGTAGAAATAAGTCCATGACTATGTCCTGAGAATGTGAGGATTGGCAAAATGCACACTAGATACTTTTCAGACAAAAACAGTACATATCAAATAACTGTTGAGTCATAAACCCCATAAGTTACTGTAAACAGATGTTGGTTACAGCTCACGTTGATGGGAAGTATATAATCACCACCCCTATAGCCACCCACTGTCCATTTCTGGTACGAGAACTTCCCCAGAAGCGTGTTTCTAATTTTGTGGAAACCCTTTGAAATTTGGCACACTTTTCAAAAGTATGTAGGAAAAAAAAAAAAAAAAAAAGTCTGCCAGAGGTTTGGCCTCCAACTGTGAAAACAGACACTGCCTTTTCAAACTCCTCTCCTAGATCCGCTGACCAACACCCAGAAGAGAGAATTTACATTCTTTTAGAATACAGCAGGAAAATGAAGGTCTGTATGCTGCTGAATTCATCTTTTGGTAACATTTACATCTGTTGTTTTAAACTGTCAGCTATTGCACAAGGCCGGACTCTGATGTGAAAGTATTTGTTTTAAAAAGGAAAGGGAAATCTTTTCAAATGTACTGCAGGGACATTTTTGGTTGTTGCTTGGACAGATTATAGCAGTTAGAGAGCGTGGGAGGACTTAATGATTTACAAGCCATATAAGTGTGCTTCAAGCAATATTAGAAATGTAATTATTGTTTGTTTCTGTCCTGCAGACCCGGCTAAAAATCATATTTGGCGTGGTTATATGCCTTTTGCTTTCCTTGTTACTTATGTGTATTATACTGCTTCCATCAAGAGGTAAGGCATTTGTAATGTAGTGTAAACCACGGTATCTTTAACTACTATGGCTTCTAAAATTCACAAAAGTTGTCAAATCATCATCATCATTGTCCTGGCAGAATTGTTATGGCTTTATTGCTTTACAGAGATGTACTGACAGCTGAAATATCCTGAAGGTAGGATTGAAATGCCAGGAGATGTTTAAACAAGGAACTACTTGAAGTGAAAAGCACTTGAATTAACTTTGTTGTGCATGATATATAATGTTCTTAGGACTGCAAAAGTAATTCTCAGATCTCATTATTATGTTATTTTTTGTCTTAAGGGTTAGGAGACTCTCACAAACAGTAATTTCCTTTAGCTTGGTGAACTTGGTTTTAAATGGTTGTGTAATAATTTCAGAAGTTCTCTATCCAATTACAAGGTAAACATTTTGCTGTAGGTAGGGTATGATGAATTGTTTGTGAACAAGATTGCATTTGAAAATTAAAGTCAGTATTGTATGAAATAGGGATGCATGCTTTGCTCTAGTATTATTATGCCAGCTGTAGGTAAATCACCAGAGCGTGGTCTGCTGAGTCCTCTGGTAAAGGTTGAAGTGAGTGTGGTTTGAAATTTAGAACCTGAGTGGCACTGACTTGATGGCAATTTTTTCCTGTGGAGGATATAGTAAGGTGTATGAGTATTTACATGGCCGTTTCAATATGGCAGATTAATTGAATGCCTCTGAAATAATTAAAATAGCAATAAAAAGCCTATATTCCAGTAACAGTATCTAAGTAAAGGGATTTTTTTTTCTATTATTATCCTTTCTTCATGTGTTGGCAGAGTGACTGAGAAGAAATCAGTTCTGCATTTACAACTAAATGTTATAAAATCAGCTATCTGCTTAAGCCTTGTGAAAGTTAAGTCCTGTAGTTAATATGCAGGTTTTGTGAAAGGTGAAATCTCTTTCCTACCTGATATTTCTGTGCAATATGTTTATCATGGGTTGTTTCATTAATAGAAGGGTTGGAAGTTTCTTGAAACAGTTAGGGTTGATACTGTTACACAGCATGTGAATATGAGGATAGATTCTATCAAGGTGGAAAGTAGTGCTGGGAAGAGATACCACCTCAGAGTGGTAGGTTTGACTTTTACTGTCAATGATGGGGTGCCAGACTTTTTGGACAGCTTAAGCATGGTCACATCTGAGCTTTCATGAGTAGTTACATGTATCTAGTCAGACTTACTCATACCAAGCCTGCAGGTTAAGACAGGGCAAAATATTTTTTTCAAGATTTAAATAAAAAAGAGCAGTTTGGCATCCTGAAGAAGTTGCTAAAGATCGTGGAAGGTAGTGTAAAAGGAAGTGAATCTATTTTTCTCTCCTGAAGTTATCAGTTCACTGGTCTTATTCTGTGTTGCTTCAGTACTTGAACCATTATAAAGAACTCCTTTCATCACTATAGTTTCTTGGAATAGCAGCTTGGTGACTAGTCACATGTAAATCCAGCAGGATGATAAAGAATTTCTCTTACTTTACAGAATGCTTTTTGAAGGAGCATTTTAGACAACTGTGGAATACACAATTATGTTGAACACACAATTATGTTGGGACATGTCTGACTATTGCTTCTTGTTCTCAGGTAGAACTGCAAGTGCTGCAGCTATCTGTTCAAATGCCTAAACCTTTTTGAATTCTTAGTAGTCTACTAATCAGTTGTAAATGGAAGAAATACAAACTTATTTTGCAGTTACAAATTTTCCAGGTTGAAAACAGACAGGAAATAGCTACAGAGATGGAATGTTGCTTGTACATTCCACCATTACTACTGCTTAACTGAAAAGATGTGGCAATCTAGAAAGACATTTAATTGCATATGAGAAACATATAGACACAGACCAACTAAATTTCTGCTTGAGAAATCAGCAAAGAAAAATGTCATCTGTAATTCTGAAAGAACTGGAAGAAATATTTAGTTCTGGTTTTGTCTGCTAGATTTCTAGTAATTCCATGTTCTTCAAACTTCTCAAAATGTGTTAGCTGGTTTTGGATTACACATGCAATAGTATAAAAATGTGAAAAATGAACACCAATTCTCAAAAGTAAAATAATTTTCTGTTTGGAGAGGATAGTAAGGGGGAAATACTTAGTTGCAGTTATTGCACAATTTTTGTGGGGCTCAGAAAATCAAGGCAGGCAATCTTAATGTAGTGAATGGCATCTATGCCTAAGAAATTAGTGACAGCTTTTTGACATTTCTTTGAGCTAGGAATGTGCTATGTGATTTACCTGACTGTGATAACCCAGCTATAATAACCCAACTCTAACCTGATCACAAAGGTTCTTTTCACTTGTACACTGGTATACTTAGTTCTGTTCTGCAGCATGAACAAGAAAGAAAATACCCGTCTGCAGTTGAAAAGCAATAGCAGAACCACAGGCGGAGTTACAGTTTTTGCTATTTTTAATGTATTGCTATTTTTAATGAATATCCAGAATCCTGCTTGTCAATGTTTCTGTTCCCATTGTACACTTGACCTAGGCCTGAGACCAAGACCCTGGTTCTCTGATGTTGCAGATTAGGCGGAAGGGCATACTTCTCAGCCAGGAAGCGGTGAGCAGCCAGTTTATTAGGAACTGCTGGTGTTCTTTGCTACACTCCAGACAAATCCATTTTCTGATTCAACAGATGCCTCCCTATGTTCCAATGCAAAGTCAAACAGGGTGGCTTCCCTCATTGTGGAGTGGAAGGAGAATGCTTCCAGTGAGGATTTTAGTTGCTGGCACTGAATTCAGCTGGAGATGATGCTGTTAGTTGCTGCTTTCTATTTGAAATGCATGCCTGGATATTTGAGTTAAAACAGAAATAAAGATAAATTCTAATCTTCTTGGCCATCTATCAGAATTGGCAAGTGACAATTAGAGATTATAAACTCTCAGCTGTTGCTAAAGTTTCTTGTAAATGAGTATCAATAGATTACTGTGATATTGGCTTCTACTAAAAACTGATGGCTCGGTCCTAGCTATGAGTTCAGGCTCAGATCTAAGTAATAGTTTAAACCTAGCTGCAGTGATCTGTATGCTGGTGGCAGAGCACTATCATAAGGTTATTAGAACAGAGCAATAAAAGCCAGTATTAAAATGGATTAGACTATTTCATGCCTTTTCTGTTTGGTACTGCATAAAAATTGGTAGGAATTCATACTAAAATCTTTCTAGATAAGTTTTCAGAAAACAATATACTCCATCAGTTTATATTCACTTAACAGGGTTCAGTCTGCTATACTTGTGCAGCTGTGGTCTATGACAATACTCCTAGGACTGTGGGGCTGGGTGGGCCTTTTCTTTCCAAATCTGACTAGTGCTTCAGAGAAACTCTTTGTTACTTAGATTCTTAAATCAGCATGTAGTGCTTACTCAAAACAGGCTCTGTTAATTTTCTGTGCTTATTCACATGCTGGTGGCAGAATAAATACTCTGGTTTAGGACTAATTTAAAAGAGTTACCACAACAATCTTACCTCTCCAAGTATATGCTTAGAAATAATGTATGATGGCTATGATCTAAGGTAAATTTTTATACTAGCTCTCCTTTATAAATATATTTTCTGAAAACTTAATTTTCAAAAACTGAAAAGGATTATAATGATCCTTTCTCAGTGTGTAGGAAGAGGCTTTTTTCCTTTCTTGGACCCCTACACTTTAGAAATGTTAGAAACAGTAGTAAACTAAACCATTCTCATTCTAGCATGCTGAAGCTTTCTATACACAGCTTCTGTTCCTACCAGTAACAAGAGCTGGATCATACTGCAGAATATGCCTTGTTCAGGCTTCATCTCTCTTCTCATTCCAAAAGGTGTTTCTGAAGTAACCTTCAGTGAGAAAGTAGTGGCACACCTCACAAAAAGTGACCGAATGTAATGCAGGTATGGAAAAGCAGATTCAGCTGATGTGGAGCTGGAAGTGACCAGAAGTTCTAGAGCATGAACAGGAGTGTTGGAATTAATTTCTGATGCTGAACTGGGCTGTAGTTTCCTCAAGTGGAAGGCTGCCTTACTGCGTATGTTGAAGGAGTTTGTGCTTTAGCTATTCAGCATCAGCCCACAGAGATGAGAATGGGCGTTCTACTCCAGAAGCAGAATATAATACTGTGCTAACCAGTTTTCTTTTGGCATGTCATCTCTTTGCTGTGTATCAGTGAATGCTAAATAAAATACATATAAAAATACATATAAAATACATATATACAACTACGTATATAAAAATAACAAATACAGAAACCAGAACACTTTCCGATTACTATGTATGCTTGCTTTAATTTTTCAGGAGTAGACACAATTTATATGGATGCACATTAGACCCTGTTGTGGAATAAGCCAAAAGTGCTTTGAAATCTAAAGCAAGAGTTGTGTTGGTCTATCCTCATTGAGTCTTTGAAAGGAATAATCTTCATAATCCAAACATAATTTCACAGTGATGAATTGGTGTGCATAAAGTTAATCTGAGTTTAATATAATTGAAAGTTCTGCTTCCTGTATTTTATTAAGCTCTCTCAAAACAGTGAAGTGAACAGTAAAGAAGGTATCTGCATAAAGCCAGTGACAATTAATAGATGCTTACAGTCTTTTATCACCACAATGATACATGTATGTCAAATATACTCACATGCATGGCTGAGTAATTATGATCATGGAATATATAAAACAAGTTACACTGTGAAGCAAAATAACCAATTCAGTGCCCAGAGACATGCAGAACTGCAACCTATAAATGAATGCAAATGTATCACAAAGGATTGAAACTGAGACAGTGGGGTGATAAAGGGAAAAGAGCAAAGCTGGAAGTTGGTAAGCTTTCATTTCTGTGGTTGGCTCTGCTATTTGCTTCCTTTTTGTCCCTGGGCATCTTTTTTTCACCTTTGTTATTTCATAGAGAAATTAAACACAATGAAAGAATTTACCAAGCCTACCAACAGCAATCCAAATCAGTGTCTATATAGTGCTTCAAACATGTAAAATACTTTTCATGTTAGGGTCTGTTCTGTGAGCAGAGATTTCATATACTATTATTGAACCAGTCTTTAGTTACAGAAGGAAGAATCAGCAACAATTATAGGAAACAATTAAAGAAGCTGCTTTAATTAAAGCATTTAAAGATATCTTCTGTTGCCTAGAAACAAGCATTCAAAATTATAAGTAATCAAGTAAGCAATAGTTGTGTTCAGTTTTTTTTGCAGTCCACTGGTAGAAATTCAGATAGGAGTGGACACATTTTGAAAATCATTACCAGTCATAATATATTATCACAGAATATTAAGTATGAAACAGTGAGATGGCTAACAGAGTAAAGGTTTAAATTCGAACTGGGAAGATTAGACCAGAGATGAGACATTTGTGATACTGTCTTTTTAGTAAAAACTCCTCTTAAACTGAGAGAAGGAACCAGCAAATTTTACCACATTGAGGTATCAAACAGAACTGCAAATTTAAGCCTCCTATACACACAACCATGGAAATAGATCTTAACAGTGGATTTCTTTTGCTAATAGGCATATTCACTTAGAGGACTTAAACTGAAAGCTAGTGATAAGTAATCATCACTCAATATAAATGGAAGTGGATTCTTCTTTGGATTTATTTTTTATGCATTTTTTTGAGTTTGCCATCTTCTGTGCTTATCATTAACATATCAAAGATCTCTAATATACAGTCATGGTGTTAGAAAGAGTAATTAACTTCTTATTGAACTTCTTGGGATATTTTCTGGACATATTGCTAGTTCAGAGTTTATACTGATAGGTTTTTGCCTATGGATTGGCATTCAGTTTTATTTCTTATGACAGCTTTCTTCCGCATTAGCGCAGACAAGGCTAGTGTCAACAGTCAACCTGACATGTGTATTCTACAGTAAGTAATAGCCACTTAGCAGAAGAAAACATGTATTATCATTACAAAGTACCATAGAACAGAATATGAAGAAACATTTCCCAGGAAGTCAGTGTGATCTTAACAGAGAGGGCAACTGTAATGAGGAAGTGATGGAGCATGATATGAAACCTGAGGGCAACGAGTCATCTTGATTATCTGGCTGTCATCTGAGAGCTCTGAAGGAGAGAAAAGGGGAAGTGGCAGAGATCTACTAGGCTACAGTGTGACATCTCCGCTACCTCTGAAGACCATGGCAAAAGACCCCTTGATTTTAAAGGAGAAAAGCATAGAATCCAGAATGCCTAGACTTAAAAGCTGCCATTATTATGGTACTGAAGTTTAAAAACTGGCCTTTATCAGAAATGTTCCTGTGTCTTTTGAGGATTAGGCATTTTGAGTACTCTTGTGAACTGCATAGTTTTTCTTTTTTTGCTTTTTTTTTTACATTGTTATAATGGAATTTTTCATTTTCATACACTTAGCAAGCCAATATATTCAGTATTATCATCTAGTTGATTGTCCTTAAATTTTGTTTTTAAAATCTGCCCTAACTTAAGGTGTTCACCTTTGGGAGGAAGCATAGTCAGAGAAGAGCCACAAAACCAGCTGCGAATTTATACATTATTTTTATGCAGCTATCTTCTCTGCTTAGAAATCAAGTACCAGAGTACCTGTCTTTTCTCCAGAATTATTGCCAGTTTTCTTCTGCAGCATTAAATAAAAAGTTGAAGTTTGGGTTCGCTCATCCATTACTTTTCAGCATTATATTTACCTGCACGGCTTCATCTATTTTTTTCATGTAGCTACTAAGAAATATATGTGGATGGTGATTATTTTGCAAGTGTTATAGCCATCCTCTAAGACTGGCTGATGAAGCATTTATGAAATTTGGCAGCAGGGTTTTGCACATCCTGTTGTTTGACTCTGCTGAATATGTGCAGGTCCCTATTAAAACAGTTGTCTCTGCATACCACACAAGATCGTGAAACCCATGCTTTAAAAAAACCTTCAGTTTGCCTTTTATGTGGGAAAGGCTTTTCTTGAACTCATGAGGTCTACAAGTAAATATGCCTGAGTGAATAAATAACTGGGTGAAATAAATTTGTTTGTCTAGTTTCTAATTTTATATTTCTAAAGGTGAGTCCTTCAGAGGCTAAAGGACCTTATCAGAACAATAAAAGAGAACTTTCCTTTCTGCTGTGCCTACTCTCTGCATGGCTTCAGGATTATGCTATCTTCGCTGTCCCCTGGTGCTAAATATAAAAAAAGGGGAATATTGCATTAACAGAAACTTTCTGTCTTATTCTTAGTTGTCAACACAGATGATGGTCCCAGAGCTCTTACATTAGAGGATTATTTGAATGGAAACTTCCAATATAAAACATTTTTTCCATATTGGGTGTCAGGTAAGGAAAACCTTTTCTCAGACGTACATAAGCCTTTCTAAGCCTTTCCAGACTGGTTTACACAGACTCAGAAATGTATTTTCCTTCCAGCTTTACTGTGAATGAATGCAAACTATGAAATTAAACAATCTGCTAGTCAAAACTTATGGCTGAAATTTACTATTCTGTCAGTCATTCTAGAAATTCCAGGTATTTGATGATTCAACAGACATGCTTGATTCAAGTATAAACTATAATTTTACAGAGGCCTTCAGTGTTTTATTTCTTTTACTGTCACATTCATTGCAGTAAGTGAAAGAAATATGTCAATGTGTCAGTCATTTCTTAAGCAACCTCCCTTTTTGTGTTTGTCACAGCACTTTTTCACTTACCATTTGTAATAATTGAGGTAGCCTGTCTTATAGGCCTCGTTCTTCCTTCTTTTCAGTAGTACCTAGCTCTGCAATGAATACAGCTGTTCTTATTTAAGGAAGTGCTGACAGTGCTGAAATTCCTGAGTTCCAATGCATTGCATGGAAAATAAGGTTGAGTTTCTAAGCAAGTTCCTTAAGGTAGAAGGTAAAGAGATTAAGTTAACTTTTGCTGATATATGTGTCTGTGTGTGGCTGAGATATTAGTCTTGTTATTGATTTGCAGCAGCACCAAAAGGCTTGAGCTAGATTGGATTACATTCTAGTTCACACACTACTACCACTCCTATCTATGCAGGAGATAATTGCCTCAAGCAATTACTGTTCTTTGACTAGAGACAAGAAACATAGTGCCTGTTCACATGGAGTCTTACCAAGTTAGTTTAAACTCACAATTTTAGAACTGAACTGAAGTCTTCCAGGACATTTCTAGCAGCAGTTCAAGTTTTACAACTAACAATTTGAAGTATGTTGACATCACTTGTATGATTTAAAAATTAGGTCACCATTTGTTAGAATTCTGTCTGAAGTATGTAGGCAGCATATCACCTAAACCTAATATTCTCCTTTTCTCTTTACATCCTTCTCACTTGGACTTATCTTTCCTTTTAACAGTCACAAAGCTCATAGAAGTCATGTCATAGATTCCTTAGATAGTCATGCCTACAGCATTCCATATGTCTACTATTCTTCTGAAGCAAGGAGTTAAAATTGAATATCTCTTCTAAGGGTGTCTGAGGTCACCACAAATGCTGTTACAAAAATCACAGAAGTGTGCTCAAAAGATCCAAGGGTGATCTAATTTCCTAAAAATGAACACCTTATACAATGATTCAGGCTGCTTTTAAACTGTTAAAGTCTCTCTTTAGCTACACCAAATATGTAATTCCTTCTCTCTGTTTATCGCAGTGGAAGTAATGATATGAAACTAAGATTCTGATCTTTATTCTCTACCAAACTATGGCTCAGGTCTTGAGCACAGGTAGGGTTATATTCCATGCTCATTGAAGGCTGCTCACCCTCACTTTGTAGGATCTGTGTGAGTAAGGACAATATCATTTATGTAGTGTCACTTATATGGTACTGCTCTTATGTGCAGAATCAGTATAAATGAGAATGTTCTGGTGAAATTATAAGCAAAGATCTTGAATGTTTTCTTTGAAAAATGTACCTTATGATATTGACCTTCTAGTGGGTCTGTCCCTGGTATCAGACATTACTGAGAATAAAATCTAGCATTTAATTATAAAGTTAACTTGCTGATTCTGTGTGCAGTGTGTAATCTTGAGAACATATATAAGAACCCTGAAGACAGTTTGTTGATAACTCTGTACCTTGGCATCTTTAGAAGAAAAACATTTTGTATGTAGATGCCAAAAGATATTTGTTCATAATCTATTCATTGACAGGAGTGTGAATACTTTGATAAACAGATCTGCTCTATAGTATCTTCTGTGCAAAGTAACAGCTCTTTTGTCTTATTTATAAAGATAATGAATATCTTCATCAATCTGCAGAAGACGATATTATTCTTTACAATGTTGAAATGAACTACCCAACTACCATCATGACTAACAGCACAATGGTATGTACCTTTTCAATTAATAAAAAGGCAGCAAAATGCAATTGCATTTCAAATACCAGTTTAAAATTGAATGGACTAAAACCTGACTCATCAAATCCTTATCTAAAGTTTTTTTACTAGAATCTAATCTACTTCTTATTCTTTCAGAAACAAGTTAATGCTTCAAATTATGTGTTATCATCAGACAAATATTTCATAGCTCTGGAAAGCAACTATTCAAAGGTAATTATTTTAATATATTGCTTAATTAAATGTTTGGTTTCATTTAGGATCTTGTTGATTGTGGTTGCTATAGGTAAATGTTTCTTGGTACCTTTTTGGGAAAGGTGTAAGCTGTGAAAAAGCAGCTGATTATTTTTAATTAAATTATCTTTTTCCAAGTTAATAATATTATTTTCTTGCTTCATTTCTTCAGCTGTGGAGATACTCTTATACAGCATCATACCACATTTATGATCTCATATATGGGTAAGGTCTGATATTTCTTACAGGGAGCTATGGAGAATACTCTAGTGATGTACTTGCAAGCATTTCCACTGAAAAAATCTATAGTAGTGTGACTACCACTCTGCTTTGCTTTTGCCTGAATCTATCAGGTTTCTTGTTTGCTTGAAAAAAATGGCCTCTAAGAATATCATACAGTCCTTTTATCTATTCAGCTAGGTATCTGGATTGATTTGTATTTCATGCCCTAAAACACTCACTGCTCAAGATTTTCATCTTTTTTTCTTCTTTGCATAATTTTTGGCCACTCTATCTTGGCTACTTGAGTCCACTTCAATCTCACACTTGATGTCTCCATGACCTTTTGTTGTCTCATTCATCCTTTTTATGGTTGATCTAATCTTTAGCTTTCCTAAAACTCTCACATGTCCTTTAGTGCTCCAGTGATCTCATAACAGTGCATCCCAGGTTCCTCAAAAGTTTACAGCTAATCCCATGGCATTTGGTCTCTTTTCCAAGGTATTCCCCAAACCACCCCTCTTTCCACCCAAGTTCAAATGAGGCTATCTGCCTCCCTGTCACCTTTTTATGACATAAGTAGCAGCATGACCAAATGCTTCTTAGTTCTGCGCAACAGGGGCTGCACTGTGCTGCTTCATTCTCGGGGAACTGTTGGCTCAACTTGGCAGGAAAAGGTTGCTCATGCCAGTAGAGAGGTACTGCATGTGGATCGTGATCCTTAACAAATGTTAACTGCTGCTGTTAATGCTTGCCTCAGCATGCTATATCCTGAGTTCACATTTCACAATACCTTGCTGAGACTGTAATGCAGACTGCAGATAGAGCAAGTGACTGTAGATGTTTGTGCAATATTTATAAAGAGATATGGCTGGCTTCTTAGGCTGTTGAATATGTTTTCAAAGGGTTGAGTTGCAAGCCTTTACCAGCACGGGTACATACCATCTCATTGCTGCATGTCTCACTGCCTGCCTTAATTTTGTGTTGTTCAAGAAACAATAAGGTGCTAGAAAATATAGAATGTAGAGTATAATGATCCATTTGCACTGTGCACAAAAAGCCATCTCAACTTCTTTCCTTTTTTTAGTGGTTTTGTAACAGAAAATCAGCTTCCACATAAAATTCAGTATTTATCCTGGTCACCCGTTGGACACAAATTGGTCAGTAAAGATAACAAAGTCTAGAATGATTTTGCTCTGTGTGGCTAGACAACATTTATTTGCCTATGGTTATTATTTTGTTAGGCCATATTTTTGACAGGCCTGTGAATATTAACATTAGTTGCAAGCAAGAATGACAAAACAGTTTTATCTTGTTAAAATATAACTTGTCTGTGTTTTAATAGAAGAATCCATGTTCTCAGATACATTATGTGTTTCAGTTCACTAGCCAGTCTCTTATCAAGAATTGACCAATGTAATTGTATATAGGAATAAATGTAGTTTGAAGGTCTGAAAACCGATCTATTTTCCTTTGACACTGTATAACACATGAGCTTACTATGCAGATTTAGAGATGCAGTATTTAAAATCTTTTCTAAAATTTTTACTCTAGGAAATGGCTGCCAGATTCTGATTATAAAAAATGTTATTTCCTTTTATTTTTAATACCTCCTTGATAGTCAAGTATGTATTCCTCAGTAATTATAATAAACCTATTGCATGTAGTAACAAGTCTATAAACTTTGTTTATTCTTGGTTCCAAAGTATCAGCCCAATAATCGTTAGTGGTTCTTTAAAGACTGATCCAATTTTGACAGCATATTTGTGAAAGAAAATTTTTTAAACTTCACGCTAATTTCAGAAGATACCCAGGGATTGGGCTAAATATAAATGGATAACTTATTAGGAAAATTTTTCCATGTTATAGGAGAGTATTAGTTCTCTCAGTTGAATTAAGTATTGTTATTTTCTTTATCAAGAATTCTGAAGACAGAACAGAATGAAGATAGTTTCTTATCTTCCCAGTACTAATAATCTGTGATCCTTTTATACACTCCTTGTATCTGAGAGTTTTAGGAGTTGCTTTGTTTTTCACTTAAAGCATAAAGTAGTTAAAATGTTACACTGATGTTGCTAACAAATGCTTACAGCTTCAACAGGCATGATTTTCTAAGAAAGTGATGTTTCTGGTGCTGGTTTCTTAATCACATGTCCATTCATTTGACTGAAATTTATAAATACCCAAGGTCTGCAAGCATTTCTTGGAAGAACTCTCAGTAAATAATTTACTAGAAAGGAACAAACCAGCTCAGATAGAGTAAAAGCCTTTTTTGTCTCATCTCACATCGCCTAGGCCTTTTGACAGGTTTAGGAAAGTCCAATTATTTTCTTTTTAGTCATTGCGTATTTGTTTTTATCTTCTACTTGATCATGCAGAAAGTGTCAAAACACTTTGTTTGAGGGTCTCTTAAAAAAAAAAAAAAGGCAATTTGAATGAGTTTCAAAGATATTTTTATTTTTTTCATGGTTTTCTACTCCAAAGCTAGCCACAGAATCCTCTGAGGTTTATTAAAATCGAAAGAGTTGTTCAGGATTTATTCTGACATAGTTATACATAGAATTTGGCCTGTAATGTATAATTTATTTACTGAGGTACCTACTCTTGCAGAATTTGCAAGGTCTTTTAGTGTAGCATGTATTTCCTGTTTTGTATTCATTGTGTCTTCTTGTTGGTATAATGTAAGAGCACTGATTGCAGATCTTACTCTAACCCCTGTTATTGGTAGCTATACTTATAAGAAATACTTTCTTCTCTTTAGGTGTATGTATATCAGAATAATATCTATTTCAAACAAAGTCCAAGAGAGGCACCAATTAAAATAACTAGTGATGGAAAGCAAAATGAAATATTTAATGGGATTCCTGATTGGGTCTATGAAGGTAAGTAAATCGTAAATCTTGAAGGGCAACAACTAACATGTTAAATGCTTTAGATTGTGTTTCTCACAATCCATTCTAAAATATCTGTGATGATATATTATTTTTAGAGCCCTAAGAATTACTTCATTTCCATATTTTATTTGCCATACAAGATTGCATTTTTGTATTCATAGAGTGTAACCAAAATATTGAGTCTATTGTTACTGAAACTGTATCAGAAATTTACAAATTGGGCTTACTTCTACTGTACAGGCAGTGGTTGGAAATTAAGCTTTAATGGAAGTTTTAATTTTGGTGCAAATGTGGCAGTTCAGTGCATCCAAAAAAATTTAAAGAAATAAACACGTGCACACAGGAAAAACCCAAGTGAGTTAAATGGGATCTGTGTGCCTGATTTGAGAGTCCTTAAGGCCTTTCAGGATTTAGTTGTATTGCAATATGTTTGGTGTTATTTAGTTAGTATAATTCCCTTTATGTGTCTAGGTCGCTAAGAGTAGAATGCTGAAATAGATTAGAAGATAGATAGATTACAATGATAAATTATTATGAATGATTCTTTTTTTCCTCAGAGGAAATGCTAGCAACAAAATATGCACTGTGGTGGTCTCCAAGTGGAAAATATTTAGCATATGTACAATTTAATGATTCTGACATACCAGTTATTGAATATTCATATTTTGGTGAGGACCAGTATCCTAGAAAAATAATTATCCCATACCCAAAGGTACGTTTTCTCATTCTTTTGACTTACCTTATGTTGAGAAATGAGTTATGACAATGATAAAATTAACTAAGCTTAAAAAATTGTTGTATTACAGTGGTTAAATCCATTGTGGCCTAAATTAATGGAAGAAAACAAACAGGCCAAGTTCTGAAAAGGTATAAGTTCATTCAAAACTGTAGATATTTAATTATATCAGTGAAATAAATGGAATTACTCATGTAAGTAAAAAGCATGTACAAAAGTGCATGCTTGCATGATCATGCCTTGCTTTTTTCAATTCATTTTACTTACTGTGATGTGTTAACTATGCAGTTGTTATTTTTCATTACAGTAAATGGATTACAAGACATTTTTTATTTTGAAAAATAAAGGCTATGACAGCTTTAATTTATTTGTACACTTCATAGTGCTTTTTGGTCTCAAGGGGCTTTGATTTTTACTGCTTTCAAGTGCCAGATCTAAGGAAGAAGGTTTTGGGTTGGCATTTCTTCAGCACGTACTCTCTCAGAGAGCTCTCCTGACTCTTGTCATTTTCATGTGATTGCAAGTGATCATGTTAATGTGTCTTAAGAAGTTACTCACCTGTCAGCTGGGTTACATTTCTAAAGTAAAGCTGGATGGTTTAGACCACACGTGGAGGAGAATTAAAGAACTAATAATGTATACAGTGAATATGCAAGCGTTAAATCAGTTTAAACTAAACCATTTTATTTCACATCTGGCTTGTCAAAGAGCACTTGCAATCATGTGAATATGCTTCTGGAGTTTTATGCCAAAGTAAGTGTAGCCTGTGCTGCAAAGTTCCACACTGCAAATAGAACACTGGTTCCCATCAAGCATGTTTTCTGTATAGAAAGGCAGCAAAATGGACTGTTTAAAAGGTTTTCTTCTTTATATATGAAATGATGCAAAATTAAGTATGATACTACTGCTGTAGTATCACTCTGAGATCATATAAAACTACATTTGCCCTACTATACTCAACTGAATATATATTTTGTAACCTATCTCCTTTTCTGTTAAGTGTAATTTTCCTCAATCTGAATTGTTCAGAGCCTGATTTGAATAACCTGATACATTTTCTTTGAAGGCTGGGGCTAAAAATCCTACTGTTAAAGTGTTTATTGTAGACACTATTAACGCTGAAGTGTTTGGTCCTAAGGAGGTGCCAGTTCCTGCAGTCATAGCATCCAGGTAGTGTGCCCTCAAATATGTCTTCTCTTTTTTTAAAAATGTTTTTGTCTCTTTGTTTTAAATGCTTGAACCTCTGAGTTGGTTCTGACAGTGGAGTGCCATATTCATCTCCTAGGAGGATAAGAAGCTATCTAGAAATGTAGTTTGATTCTGTATGTCCATATAATACATTGTTACAAAGGACAAAAAAAATCCCTAAGACAATGGAAGCTTTCCTATTGTCTTCCACAGAGCAATATAGGGAATACAATTTGTAGCAATGTTTCTATATTCCTGTCCTTTAATAACCACCATTTCTTTCTTCTTTTTTTCTTTTATCTTTTAGTGATCACTATTTTACCTGGCTTACTTGGGTAACAGATAGTCGAATCTGTGTGCAATGGTTAAAGAGAATCCAGAATTTTTCAGTCTTAGCTATTTGTGACTTCAAAGAAAATTCAAATACTTGGGACTGTCCAGAGGTAATAAAGTTGGAAATATAAATTTAACATTGCTGAAATTAGCATTTGCTAATCCCATCTGCATAGCTATTTTAACACCTACAGATCAGCACGGGTTGCTCTGACTTACTTTCAGAAGTATATTTAATCTTGCCCTGAATTCTTTTAGAAAATAATAGTGTGCCTGACATAATTGTATTTTTCAGTGTTTCATCACTTTCATGTTTTAGATAACTGGTACGACTTTTTCAATATTTTAATTGCTGGAGGAGGGGTGAAAAAATTTTAATTGCACCAACAAGAAATAAAATCACCAAAATATTTTTTTTTAGTGAGGTTTAAATAACAAAGCAACAAAAATAAGAATGATATTGAGCAGCTTTAAGTACTGTTGTTTAGCTCCTTCTTGCTTCCTCATCTTCAAAACTGGAGCCATATAGGATCTTTATTTTTTTAAAAAGAAAATCTTATTTTGCCACATTGAAATTTCATATTGACTAAATCGTGTCCTTTATGATTAATGTTAAATAAGTTGAAAGAACATATAGATTAAAAGTAAGGCAGGCTTTCAGGAGGGAGAAATTCTTCTGTCTTATCAAATCATACAGTTGGAGAATGCAGGAAAGTTTCGAGAAACACAGTCCCTTTTTCAGATCTGAAAATAAAACTTCAGATTAATTGCAACAGTAGCTCTATGTTTTGTTTAAATATGCCATTCTATCATTAAAATAGTTTGGAGGGACAACTATGCTCTGTTGAGCAGAAGGATAGCATAGATGGCCTAGCTATCTTTACCTATATGTAAATAGGTACAGATCTTACATAAAGAAGCCTTTCTGAAAAAAATATTTCTTTAAAAGACCTTGTAAATTCATAGATATCCTGAAAGAAGGGGTAACCCTGAATTTCAGTAACTCTAATACAGAAGTCTCATTTATTGTCTTTTAGTATCAATGCTGTTTGCATGTCTTGTTTTTAGAATTTGTGGGACAGAACACCTATAAAAATTACCATTAGGCTGGGACTTTGAACTAATGGGAAATAAAAGACAAGAATTTTTATAGAAGTGTTCTTTATAACTAATAAATTAGAAATTCAGAGTGTATTGACACAGCCTTTCCAAGTTGAAAATAATTTTTATTCCTCTATGATATAGATATATGACAATTGTTGTATGAAAATTTAACAGGAAGTTAAGGTCCTAGTCTTTCAAAAATATTATAATTGAAGTAATTTTCCACAAAGAAATATCTTAATTTATTAGGGAAAAATAGATATTTACTGCAACATTAAATGTGTTTCCTAAGTGATTGTTCCACTTTATAGGTACTTTAGCACTGAATCTGTATCTCACCTCCAAGTAACCTACATGTTAATAACTATTTTAACATACAGAAAAAAAAAAATAAGGTTCCTAATATTCTACCACAATCCACAAAAGTACTTTAACACAAGCTTAACTTTAAGCATGTAAGCAGTTTTATTTATTTCAGTAGGTCTATTTATGTGTTTAAAATTAAGCATGTGCTTAATTGCTTTGCTGGAACCAGACCAAAACAATTAACATCTTGCAGGACTGTGTTCATGATCCTTGTTTAATTGCATTTCTCCATGAAACTTTATTTATGGAGTCACTACTGACGTTTCTATAATTCTATATTTATACAGTGATACAATGCTTTTATCACATTAAAGTTTGCACAAATGGCCAATTGAAGGAGTGTGAACAGATGGGAGTGCTGCATTAGCTCTATTTGCTATTAGAAAGTATATCTCTGTACGTTTCCATTGGCAAAAATAGTTCTCTTGTTGATTTCAGATTAAATTGAGACTCTAACATACAATAAATGTGCTAGGCTTTATGTACTTGAAAATAATAACAAAATATAATCTACAAGATGTTCCTAAAGTGTTGAAATGTTCGCGTGTTCAAGTCTTGCTTCTATGTGAATAGACCTTAGAAACCAATATGACTACATCAGAGCTATTCATGTGAGTAAAAGATAGGCATGTATTTGTGAAACTGGGATTTCCTATGAATATGCCAGTTCTCTAAATTCTGTAAAGACTTCAATACCCAGGAAAATCCCATAGAAGTCAATGGGTCTACTCATATGAGAGAAATTAAATATATCTTTAATGTACTATGGCATCAAGATCTGAGCCTTAAAGAAATGAAAATAAATTTAGGATGCAGATATAAAACAATATAACCCATTTTTGTATCTTACAAATGAATAAAATTAATATTCTGAGTTAATAACTCAGTGGAGCCCTTGCCAAGTACTAAGTGGTCTTCTAAGGGTCAGGTTTCTGCAACTTTTGCTCTAATAAGTCCATTTACAGGGACTAAGTTGAAAGGGAGAATGCATGGTTCTGAATGCTAATGAGATTACCTTTAGGATAACAAATACAAACCATATTCTTTAGACAGCAGATTTGTTGAATTTATTTCAGACTGTGAAGAAATATTTTATTAAATGAGCAGTAAAAAGATAAGTTTGCAAGATAAAAAAAGAGATACATTGATTGAATGCAGAATTGTTAAATATTAAATCACTTGCTCTATCCAACAAGCAAGGTATTACACTTTTCAATTAAAAAGTCTTAGGGAAAGTATTGAAAACGCACTAGAAACTTTGTAAGTAAAACATAAATAAAAATGTAAAAGCACCTTTAGCTGCAGGAGATTTATGCATTTATGCTCACTACAAGTCTTTTTTAAAATCAGCTTTAAGATTTTTGCTGCCTACATTATCTTTGCCAATCCTTAATTCTTCTTTCTAAATGTGTTATTTGTAAGATTTTTTTAAAAGTGTTGAAAATCAGGCCCTTTGATATCTCTAAACTGAGCACAAAATATGGAGACCCTTGATTTCTGTGTACTTAGTTAATGTATTTGACTTGTATTTTTAAGGGATTTAAGGTTTACATTTGAAAGATGTACATAGTAGTCACATTATTCACTGTTATAAATAAACAACACATCTTTGAAATGAAAGGAAATATGTCAAATGAACCAGCAGAGAATCTAACACAGATTTTCATTATCATTATTCTTGAAATTATTTTACTTGTTTTTTTACTGAAAAATTCGTGAGATTACATAGTTCTTAATTCTTGCTTTCAGTGAAAATGTTGCATAAGGTTAAAACAATTACCTTAGATTTTATTTAGCTCCGATGGCAACTGTTAAAAAATAATGTTTTAACTAACATAATGGTATTAATACAGTAATATTATTTACCTCAGACAATCCTCAAGTCCCTGAACCTTCAGAGCAAGTGTTCTAAAATTCTCTTTTAGGCAGCTACAGATTTTTCATTTGAAGATTTTGAATCTCCATAAACTCATTCTTGAACTTCCTAAGGAGTGTACATTTTATTTTGTTTTTCAGAATCAACAGCACATAGAAGAGAGTCAAACAGGATGGGCAGGCGGTGTAGGTTTTGTTGTTGTACTCTATTTTGATATTATGAAAAGCTGCAACTTTCTGCATCTTCACATCAGTGTTTTGAAACATGAAGCAGCATTCCGAGTCATACAACACTACTGTTTAAACACGTTGCACTGTAGGATTGAGACACAATGCTGTGCTAGGCATAGTATCTGACTACCTGCTTTCTGAGTTTAAAAGCCCTTTTTATGTCTCCTTTCACAAATCTTAGACCAACTGAGTAGACACTATACTGAGGGGAGTGAAGTAATGAAAAGAGGTAGATTCATACTGTAATGTAATTCATAGAAGCATCCTGAAGGCAGAAAATAGATGTAAAATTCCTCTGATGTCACTAGGGGAAGAGATAAGATTGGTCACACTATAGCATTTTAAGAAAATTTGTCCATTCAGAACAGAATTTTAAAACTGTGTCCATTCAGAGCACAATTTTAGTGCCAAGTGCTGCACATCTTCAGCTAGGGAGGAACCTTCAAGGTAAGATACCCACTTACAATGCTGGTTGATACTTCTATTGAGTTAGCCCTAAACAAAATAAATTTTCTCTACCCAGTAAACTTTATCTTGGAAGAGACATAACATGCATCTTTAGCAACTCACAGTGAAAATAAACCTGCAAGGAAATAGTGAGAGCATGAGATCGGTATTTACAATCATATATTCTAACAACCTATGATTGCTGCTCAGGCAGGTGAAGTTACCAGTATTCAATACAGGGATCCTCAAACTGTGCCTAAATATCCTGCAGTGGATTTAACTGAGAGTTTCAATTTTCAGTATTCTGTCCTTTAAGAGACGTATTTTTATGTGAAGATTACACATTTACAAGGATTAGTTATTTTACTTGGTCCCTTTCTTTTTTTTGCCACTTCTCTTGAGGTTGTGATGACAGGTTTTTATTAGAGCTAAAGAAATTACACACACGCATAAATCCCTGATTTAGCCTTTATGGGATTTCAAGCTTTAGGAATATTAGAAGCAGAACAATTTAGCTTGTGTTCACAGGTTCTAGTCGAGCTTGGGTTAGTATTATTCAAAAGTCATACTCACTCAGGAATGTTTGGTGCTATGTTTGAAGTTCTTAAAAGTTATTCTTCTGTGATCAGCCTTGACTGACAATTTTAGTGAACAGGTGATGGTTTGTAAAAGAAATAAAAGTTGAATAGTTTTATCTGGGATAATCTGTTCTTTAACATTAGTGGAATAGTATGGGAAACTTCAGGTATCCATTTACTTAGTGCTGTATTTGCTCAGTGACTCAGCCAGACTCTGGTCCACAGGATTTTCAGTCTGGCACTATTCATGAACATTAGCTTTCTTCAGAAACTTATTTTTTAAAAATCACTTATACCTATTTTTAAATAATTAAAGAAAGGTCATTCAGAATATACAAACAAATTATTCCACTTACAGGTAGAGAGCTTGCATTTGTGGGGTACTTGAAGTATCTATATTATCAATTTAAGAAATCTGACATGACAGATTAGAAATTGTAACGTGTACTGACTGGGAGATTGAGAGTCACAGGTAAACACTTGTGCAAAGTACTTTGTCACACCTGAACTGATTAAATAGTCTTGTTACTTTTAGTATGTGTACTATAATCTTCTAAACAGCTTGGACAGACTTACATCTCATCTACCATTTTTCTTCCATTGTTTCAGTTCTTTGTTTCTACACCATATTTTACATCAGACAGCAGTTCGTACTACAAAATTTTTAGTGACAAAAATGGTTATAAGCATATTCATTACATCAATGGCTCAGTGGTAAGTCAAACAAAGTGTTCTACATGGATCTACTCTAAGTTCCTGAAATAATTCTACAACATTCAGTAACTTAAATGTCTTGCTTCACAGGAGAATGCAATTCAAATTACAAGTGGAGAATGGGAGGCAATATACATTTTCAGAGTAACAAATGATGCAATGTAAGTAACATGAAGAGAACAGGTTGTGAGTGTTGTCAGTAAAAGCAACACTTAATCATTTGAACACAATTTGTTAACTTATCAAATTATAGCTAGGTATGATTTGTTTTGTACCTGAATGCATCCACAACAAATTTGTATGCAAAGACACTGCACAGGTTTGCAAGCTCGGTTTACTTATGGGGGATTCTTTTCAAATTGCCCTAATTTTCTATTTAGTTTCAATCACCCATCTTAGAGAGATTTATTTAGAAATACTTAAATTTACTCATGTAGTTAACCCTCAGACAATTTGCAGTTACTTCTTTTTTTATGGTCTCTCATTCAGCTTATTATATAGACAGATACAGCTTACATAATTGCAGTGATTAACTCATGAGAATTAAGATAGAACTCCTATTTATATGGTTTATTTGTCATCTAATCAGAGTTTGAGCAAAGATTCGTTAAGATGAAAGGTATATAAGCTTAACTTACAGCACATACAGAAATCTCAAAAAGTCTAAGTTAACTTCCAGGAAGGCTTTTAATTTTGAGGACGGTTCATATGCCATCACTTTATGGATTATTTATTAACCTATAAATGAATTTACAGTTTCTATTCAAGCAATGAATTTGAAGGCTATCCAGGAAGAAGGAATATTTACAAGTAAGTGTTATCAACATTATCTTAATTATACTAGGTTGATATAAGATAGCTCTGGATTTGTCAATAAAATAATTTAGTTTCAAGATGTTTAAAGTGTGATTTATAAGCTATTTTATCTAAACCTTGACCTTCGATTATAACTGAGAATTGAGGAGAAATAGCATTATACAGTTTAAATATATTCCTGGGGAAAAAAAAATATAAAAAGGGAAAACATTTATTTTTAAATTGAACTGTTCTGAAAGTACAGTGCCTATGCTCTAGAATGTGAGGCAGACACATGTAAAGTTAGTTGTAGCAAAATAAATATTGTTTTATTTTATTTTTCTTCTAGAATCAGTATTGGAAGTAAACCTGTCAGAAAACAATGCATTACTTGCAACTTAAGGAAAGAGAGATGCCAGTATTATACAGCAAGATTCAGTGAACGTTCTAAGTATTATGCTTTGATCTGTTATGGTATGTATAGCATGGGCGCAAACATATAATCTGTTGTTCTTTCAAATTTATCAGAGGTGTAGATAATACTGATTATCCCAAATGATAGTTAGATGAATCAGAAATTTCAGAATAACCAGGAGAGTTTTCCAGAAATAAACTTTTCCATGTCCAAAACCTTTGGGAAAATGTTTCAGAAAATACAAATATTTTCACCTTATATTTTTTCACCTTTTCAAAAAAATCTTGGGATTTTTAGAATTGAAAACAAATTTGTGGAAGTCCTTCATAGCACAAAACAGATTCTAAGCTGGATCGTGAAAGTCATGCTTTTTCTTGCAGCAGCAAGAACAGAATTTAGAAACATACACTGATTTCCAATTCATGTGATCAAAGTTAGCTATGAGAAACCACTAGAATGTGTTTCCCAACTGAAATTATTAAAACCTGTGTCAGCCACAAAAAGTTGGATATGTGCTATCTAAGAACATTTTTAATAACTACAAAAAATTCAGTTCATCAAGATTTGTGATAATTGAAACCACTTGTAACTCAAAAGCATTAAATGAAGTCTTAGCTCTCTTGAAAAAAGTTGATTTCATTGATCTGAGGTTTCATCCATTGTTGTAATCAAAGAACAGTGAAGTCACAATCTAAAAAAAGGAAAGAAAAATATCTAAGGTTTTCCTTTCACATATTTCACATAAAGTTTATTGTTCTGATTCTGCACTGGCTGATCAGATGAAGAGTTCCTTAGAACTTCCAGTGAGCAGAGAAGCAAATGCAGCAAATAATAACACCTTTCAATCATTCTTGCTCAAAACAGTCAGTAAGGTCATCACCATATGAAAGCCACTCACCTTCACAAATATGATGTGACATGTTCTCAGAAGAATGTTTTATATTGTTAATTCTGCATTCACCTTATGTAATCACATCCCAGGTACTAGCTAGATGTCACTTCATCTCTAGGGAGGAAGAGTTTGTTAGTAGATTTAAAGTTACTTGTACTATGTTTGCTAAGCAATGCCTGTATGTATACAGGTCTGTGTACACAAAGTACCTTATGTATTTCATGCAGCAGGGACTAGTGGGTTATAAAGCAGAAAGATTCAGATTTGTGTATCAACTTTGAGCTCTTTAACACCTGTCAGTTACCAATGTTAATGTAATATACATTCCATCACCGAATTCCAGCTTCAAATCGTAAACTGCCTTCTTATAATTCTTATGACAGGTCCTGGGATTCCCATTTCTACTCTTTTCGAGAACCACGGTGATAGAGGTACTGCAAATATCCAGCCTATTTCTGAACAGTTGTTTTTCTCATTGATCTTCACTATGCAGATCCTCTAATACAATATTTAGGATTGTGATCAAAAAGCCTTTCATCTTGTTTGCTATTGAAATATCTAGTGTCTTTCTAGATTTGTTAATTAGTAAAATCCAAATATCAGTGAATGCACTGGTGTCTTTATTTTCATTCCTGAGTCGAGGACTTTTATAGTATCCTGATGTTTTTCCTGTTTACGCACTATTGATGCAATGAACATTGGCAACTCTTTGTCTACCAAATATTGAGTCAAACTTTGTAGAATACCTTACTGTGATCTCCAAACTATTCCTTTTCACATTTTGATGAACACAATACTTTCTGAGTTTTTTCATGAAGCAACCCTATCCTGCAAAAGGCAACAGTGTACTATTTAGAGTCTGCAGTCTGAGCTATTGTACTGTACTAATGAGAATTTGGATCAGTGACTTGCTCGTCAGCTGTCAGTAGAGATGTCAAGGAAGAGCGGAAGCTCTTTGAGATGATCAGTTCAAATAACTGCTTCAGACAAGGTGTAATTATTGATACAAAATGGGAACTTCAGCAAGAAACATTCAGAGCCCTCAGTCTTTAAGTAGTCTGTTATTGAGGACTGTTTGCAACCAGACCAAGCAGAAATTTGCTAATCATGAAAATATTAATTGCTCTACAGTGAGTTTTTTCTCTTTGTCCTTTGCTTTTCCCTAAAAATTCTTCTCCAACTAAAGCCCTAAGTCCTGAAATGTTATGAAACCTAGCATGGTCCTGTAAAAAACTTCAGTGATTTGGCATTCCCCATTACAATCAGAGGAAACGCACTGATAGTTCTAATGCTAGGGTCCTTACAGTTCAGCCTGTGTTGGTAAGGCACTATTAACTGAGTGTTGTCTGACCAGAAGACACATAAAAACATGAGGAAGACAAACTCCACAATATTGTTAAGCTAAATAATCAGTGGCAATTTGTGAAGAAGTCAATGAATTACAATGTAAGATTATGTTGACCCCAATAGGAGTTGGTACATCTTTAGTCTTTTGCAGATGAAAGAGATTGGTCAACATGTTTATTCCAAGTGTGCTGTAAAAACACTGTGTTCTGATATTTCTTTTGAAGAAGGTTTAAAGGTTTAAATACAGATAATGCATGGATTTTTTTCATATTTAATTCATTGTCATAGCTATCTGTTTTCTGTGATTCATTATGACCTTGTATATCAAGGGCACTTACTACCTCCTTATCAATGTATGAATTGCATGAAATGCAGCTAAGTGTCCAACTACAAATAAGTGTTACTTAACCTCGCTGAAGGAGAGAAGAGTTTCATTTAATGGATCTTCACCATTGGTTTTATGATGCCTCACTCTGCTCTGCTATTATTCCTCAGGAATAAAAAAAAATTCAGGCTTCTCTGACTTTTTCATGGCCTTTTTTGGATTAATTTTCCATAAATTCCTTGCTTTCATAATCTCTCCTGTGGTGCAAAACTATTTTTAGTAGATCCATTTTCAGTGCAGTTGGCAGCATTTTGAAAATATATCACCCATGAATTTTAGTAGGAGGCATGCAGTTAAACTAACACACACCAGGCTGAAAGCCCTTTCTAGCATGCCTACAATTCATTTGTGGTAATGAGGAAGTTTCAGGAGTTTTGAGGAAAAGGATGGAAAGGGTTCAGCTGAGTTTGGGTGAGTATCCAAAGCCAGGATGATCTTTCAGCCATAAAACCCCCCTTGAATCTGCAAAACTTTTCAAGAGTACTTTGAAAGAACAAATTCCAGTGTTATATTTTTGTCCTGTCCTGAGCACTATCTAGCTCAAGACGTGCTGAGAGAAGTACTTCTTGTATTTTTTTTGAGCATTTCCAGAAACAAGAAGTGGTTGTCATTAAGGATAAATAAGTAAATAAATAAAAATAAGGTAAACTAAAAAAGAAAAATCTCCTGCAGTTTCGAAGGATTCTTTCATTTTGGAAGTGAAGCTAAAAGTCACAGATTTCCTTTATATACAATATTCTTCATCCATCACTACTCATGGGAAAACACATAAACAAGTAATACCCAGTGGATTCATAATATATAGTTCTTCAGTCTATGCTGGAAATTAACTAAATTTTAAATAGTAATTTTAAAATTATATAGCTGTAAATTTGGTCTAAAGCAAATTAAACAAAAATTTTAAATACTTTTTAAATTAAAATAAAAAACCATACCAACAAATAAAAGAGGTTCACTAAGTGTGCAGTAATATATTACCAGTGACATTTAAATGGTAAGTCTAGTGTCTTTGAGTAGGAATATATGATACAGTGGTTAAGCAAGGGTTTGACACAGTCCCTTAAGAAACTGAATTTCATGTGTTAGCCCAGAAACAAGATATTCCCAAACATCTCTGTGCTTAACCACACTGACCTAGAGTCTCAGAGGTTAAACTGATATTACTGTGATAATCCAGAGAGGAGATACATGACTGTGTTTTGCATGATGGGATGAATTTTGCATTTCTAGCTCCTACCATATTACAAAGCTGGGATGAAGGCTCTGCAGAAGAAAGGAGTTTCTTCATAACATCCAGGACTCTACCACTCAGAGGCAACATGTGAAATGATTTGCACTGCAAAATGTACATCCTATAAAAATCTAACAAATATTTGTGCTCTATAATACCAGTGCCTTGTTTTCATTTAGGTATGAGACCAAGCACAGTTAGAAGTGTCTGAGTTGATTTCATTACTCTGCTTCTAAAATTCACAGATCTCCTTTCTGCTCTAATGACACAAAATAAAGGAATCTCAAATAATGAAGAGGAATTAACAATAAATTAGTTAATAATTCAGGCATTTCTTTTACTTAGAGCTCAGAGTACTGGAAGACAATTGGGAATTGCAGTCTGCTTTGCAAGAGATAAAACTGCCGAAAGAAGAAATTAATAAACTTGAAGTGGATGGTATAAGTAAGAATTACACATCTTTATTATACTTTTTATTCCTACCACTTTAATATTTTGCCCTCATTTTGTTATAGTGAGTATCATCTTTCTGTAGAACAAACTTGTTAGCCTGTCAGATTGGGAGGAAGATCGCTGTTTGACAACCAATTTGTCTGTGCCTCAGGGTATCTCTCAATAATATAGTAGTTAAAATACACCTCTGCTTCACAATGCAAATTTTTTTTTTAATTCTTTAATACTATTGGTGAAGTGATTAGATATCATGTAAAAACATTATAGTATGGTGGTAATAAAATGTGAAATGTAAACTGCTGTTCATGTATTGCACATTATATTGACTTGCATACGCTATTGTTTTCACTAGAGACTTTACAAACAATATTCCATGGTAATGAGTGTATAGTTTCCCAAATTCATTTCTCATAATATTAACAACAGTTATATTTATAGTTGTGTTTTTCTAGGCACCTAGAAAACTGAGAACCTACAGTTATGTGAAATAATAATTTTATGCATAGCTAAATTAAAATGGACAATTTATTTCTTAAAAGTTGGTCTTCAGTAGCTCAGTATAAAAAGTTACTTGCATCAGTTCTGTGATTCACAGTTTGTACATGGTATAGTTCGTGCTGATTCATCTTCTTATACTGTTATACCAAACTCTGGATTATGCTTGGAGGAATCATTTTAACCATTAACAATATAATTTTAATATGTCTTTTCTAGCTTTGTGGTACAAAATGCTTCTACCCCCACAGTTTGATAGATCCAAGAAGTACCCTCTGCTTATTCAGGTGTATGTAACACTTCCTTTCTTTGAATGTTGTTTTGTCAGGAAACATACTTCTTATAACTTAACAAAACCTAGGACATTTGCAACATTTTATGAAACAAAAGCAAAATCACTTAGTTCTGTTTTGTTTGTTGTGGTGGGTGTTTTGATATATTTCTGGAATACAAATTCAACCCAATGGAAATCGATGAGGTTTTTAATGTTATTCTCATCATGGCATTAGTTCCTCAGAGAAAGAAAAAGGATAAAAACATGTGGGCTATTGCTTGGAGTTCTTAGCTCTGTTGCTCCTTCTGTTTATAATGAGGCACTCTGAAATTATTGATTTCAGTTTGGCTAATATGAAAAATACAAGAGCCTGCTTCAGTTTTTAAGAAAAAAACCCAAACATCCCTAAACCATGTAGACTGGCTTCCTTGATCAAATGTCCCTTCTCAAGAGCAGTTGACATGAATTTCATTTATAGCAGGCAGAAAAGGCAACAAAAAATGCAGTGGTGCAAAAAAACCCGAGGCAGAAAAGAGAGCTGAGTAGATGTAATAAACTTTACATAATTTTTTATTAACCAGTGATGATCCAAAGGTCCAAGAATGCTAAGTATGTTTGAATGAAGTTTAGAGTAGAAGATTAAATCAGTTGTGTCCTTGAGGTCAAATGTGCAATTTGCATTAGGCTATTCTCATGAGGAATGTTTCTCTGTATTGCTAAGCTATGTGAGCTGTGTTCAGCCCACAGCTCCAACAGCACATGGTATTCCCTACTGAAACAAAGAAGGTCTGAAGATGGCCAGAAAGTATAAGGAGCTGTACTTTTTTCTTCTGTTTTCTTCGTCATTGCTGACTGCACGTGGAGATCGAATGCAGAAAAGCACCAAAAAGGGCTGTTACACCTAAAGAATTTGGAGAGAGGAAAGAATTGAGTCTTTGAGGCACCACTTTTCCAAGGATTCCCCTTAGGACAAGCACCTGATGCTGCAACCCTTAGTCTGAGCTGAAACTAATGATTTGCCTTAGGCATAAAACCTAAAGGATTAAAATGGATTTTAGATAGCAAAATCTCACAAATATATGAAAAGGGTAATTGAACTGTTTGTCTGCTGAGCTCTCTGAACCACAGCCATATAGCAAAACACTTTTAAGGAAAATGTAAGAAGTACCTATAGGTATAGTCTGGTATCTGGTAATCATTTATAAATATGAGTTGAAAATGTGTGAATTTTCTTCCTCAGGTACGGAGGTCCTTGCAGTCAGAATGTGAAGGAAACATTTAGCATTAGCTGGATAACCTATCTTGCAAGCAAAGAGGGAATTATTGTTGCTCTTGTGGATGGCAGAGGGACAGCTTATCAAGGTGACAAGATTTTGCATGCAGTATATCGAAGACTAGGAGTCTATGAAGTTGAGGACCAAATCTCAGCAGTGAAGTAAGCAGAATATCTCCCTGTATAACTGTTGCATTTATGTGCCTAAGAGAAGTAATGTGAAAAGAATATTAAATATACTTCTTAGTCTTCTGGAGAGCTGATATCTCCAGGAAATAAGACAAGAAGACTTGTAGAAATAAAATATTACTGAGTTACTTGATGTCAGTGAGGTTTTGTGTGGTATATTGAGTCCATATACTACTAAGTCTACATTCAGACCTCATGACTTCCATTTTATAAAAGCATCATCAGAGGCTTCAAACCTAGGCCTAAGGAAATACGAGTGTCAGTGGTGAGAGGTAAGCCAATGTACTATCCATTATTCTGAAGTTTTCCTCGTAGGGGAAACCTACCTCAGTGACCATAGAGATTAGCCAAAGATCCATAGTGATGTACCACAGTGATTAGCTAAAGGTCAAATGTGAATTTTGTAGCAAAACTGAATCCTGATACAAGCCTTCTAAAGGTCAGTTAGTCATAAAACTGCCTTTCATGCTCTTTTGCAATAGTTATGAACAACACAAAGTATCTGAGGTCCTCTAGTAGTTGTTCCCCAGCAGTTGCTCCTTTGCATCAAAACACTTAAAGTGTTCCAAGGGAAAAAAATTCCCTAAGCAGAGGTTTTGGAAGTGAGTGAAAGTGAGGTTTTGTAAAGAAAGGCTGCCTGTTAAGCTCACAGATGCAGTAGCACTGATAAAGTAAGCATTTAAAGAAGTGTTAGTTTGAACCCCACAGAAATGAGTGCAAGGCAGGAATGAGTTTAGCCTTTGGTCTGGAATTTGGCCTATCAGAGCATGGATAAATTTCCATGTGCAACAGCAAATACTCTCTTTCCCCCAGTAATAGGTCTGAGTAGCTTAGCTAGAAATTGGATATAGTAGTCCAGGTTTCCATAGCTTTCTCTACTTGTTTGAAAACACTGCCTGTATTTACAAGTGTGTGAGGAGGGTATCTGTTCCTTCCTCTTTCTGCTTTGTGATAATTAATTTCCCTGACAATGATATAAACACACATTTATCTTTTTCAGTGATAAATGAAACAGAATAACTGTATATCATGTTAGGTTTTTCTATTAATATATTATTTGATTTTCTTTCTTGAAACTTTTAGCAGCAATGGCATACTTCAAAATATCACAAGAGAGAGAATGGGTTTTTATTACTCTGAATCGTCACTCAGACATGAAATGTCAAAGATAGAGGGAACCTAAACTAATTCTGCAGTTGAAAAATCTGCTGAGACAGGCTGTGAAGAAATGACCTCAGACTTCACACTTCCCAGTTTTCTGTCAGCACCTAGACTAAATTTTTATTTAGTCAAATGTATTGCATTCCATCTTCCTGATCTAACACATTGTTTAAGATGAATGATTTTTAGAGAGGATCGTATACTCTAGTGGGGAGTTCTTGGAGGGGCTTTTACTGTAGGAGGAACCCCAGGGATTAAGACAGCGATATAACAAAGCTGAATCATTTTTTTGGCTTTTCTAACTTTGTCCCACCCGGATAGTATCCCGCATTTTGGGTGTTGTCAGTTACTCATTCTTGTCCTAGTAAAATAAGGCTCATATGTGTCCTGGGATGTATCTGAACTTATTTTGTTTATCTGTCACTCTCAAACCTTTGTGGTCTTTTGCCTCAGCCTCTTTTCTTTGCTATTGCTAATACAGCTCTGGAAATGCAGTCTTCAGACTCAGATGGAGGATTTTTGTGGGACACCTAATATTTATGATTCTCTTTGACCTGTTTGACTACTGAGTGCATAAGCAAAGTGCACCTTTCATCCATTGAAATCTTATTACCTACTTGGGGCATTAGAAGATGTTTTCTCATTATTATTTTTTATTATATTAGCAGTATGTGCTCTTCACTTTTCAGGCACATCAAAAAGAAAGATTATTGCTTTAGGGAATCTATAATCTCAGAGGCTGATACTGTGCCTCTTGAGAGATCGGAGTATCAGCTCTTAAAATGAGTATGTTGAGCACCTTGCAAGATAAAGTCTGAATGTTAATGGTAATCCAGCACCTTCTGCATTAAAATGATGAAAACGATAATAGCCTGTAGGAAGGTAGAGCTATGGGAAATGAAATGTGGCTATTAGTAAGAGTACACTTTCTGAACTTTTTCCTCTGCACAGGTGTATGAATGTATGTCTGTACATATGCACATATATATGCATATGAACAACATGAGTATAAGGTATGATGTTTAATCTAGTCTGGACTAAATATCCAGGCAGATTCAAAGTATAAGAAAAAAGATCTTTTTTGCCAGGAAGCCAGTTGGGCAGAGTCCTCATCCACTGGAACAAAAGCTATTATGAAGAAAGTACTGATTTCAGCATTTTTTATTTTTTCAAGAAAAATTCTTCCTTTTTCTCTGAAATACCTATTAATTGAAAAATTGATGCTTTGTAGAAATCAGACATGCTCTGCTGATTGTCAGTTTGCTCAAATTGGTGGGATGTGTGGAAAAAAGTGAAAGAAAAAATATATTTTGCTAATTTGTTATAGTATTAGCAAACTTTTGTAATAATGCATTTATTTCTGTGATTTTATTTTCCACAGGAAATTTATAGAAATGGGTTTTATTGATGAAAAACGAATAGCAATATGGGGCTGGGTAAGTGGTTTAGTTTCTTGTGTCTATATTTAAATAATCCTACAGTATAATTTTTTTGATTCTTCCTTATTCTGTCCTAAACCTGTATGAAGTTTCTTCTACCAGTTTTTGATGGTATTGCCAAAGGGGACAGTTCTTGTTTGTGTCTATATACATGCAATTGCAACAGTGCAAGCTCCCACAAGGGATCTCTGGCAGCTCAAGAGGGAGTTTTGAAAAAGTTTATGTCTAATACATTGTTTGGACTTGAAATTAAACACAATTGAGATGTTTTAATTGGCTTTGCTTTTAATTTAGGGACTTACTGGCGTTTTGTCAAAATTCAAGTATTGTCCTTTCTGATCTGAGATTAAAATGATGAGAAAAGTCCTGTGAATATCTCCTATCAGAAAATATGACCCTTGCATCATTCTGAATCACTGTATACTTGACTGGCTTTGAAATGGTCAGTAGGAATGAATGTGAGTCTGAGGGGTGTACAACAGTGGCAGTTTCACCAAGTGGAAAAATTGGACAGTATAGGAGTCATTCCAAATAATTAGCCAGTCTATTTTTCCTCTTTGTTTTTTTCAGGTACTTTGCTCTGTAACACTCCCAAAACCTTTTATAGCCAGGTGCACTGCAAGTTTTTATTATTAAATTATATATATTTATTATTCTTAGAGTAGCATACCTCAAGTACAAATTTTAGGGTAGCACTGCAATCTAATAGGAGAAAAATAAATTACTGGAATAGTAGGAGTTCTTTTTCCTGTGCTGTCAGCTTCAAAGTAGGACCATTCATGGAAATGGGATGTAGACCTATTAGGGATGTTGCAGGAGAGCTGAAGCCAACTTCAGTTGCAGCACAAATGCCACAGAGCCCCTTTATAGAGATTTTTAAGCTGTTTAGGCCATCTGATTCTATTGCTTATGTTCATCATGAATGGCTGGATCAAGAATGCATAGACAGTACCAGAGCCCTGCCTCCCAGCCGGCTTCAGCACAACAGAATTATACTATGCGGGAGAATGAGCTGATAAGCAACACCATGGGTCTCATGGATTAGGGACAGCACTGTAAGGAATACTAAAGGGGGTTGGAGGCCAGACCTGTGTTAGCCATCCTTACTCCTTCTCTGAGTAAATCAGTATCAGCTATCCAGCAGTAACAGGCAGCACTAACTAAAAAAGCTTACAGAATAAACAGTTATGTTAGCCACTCCTTAACATTTTCCAATATTTTTATCTCTATACATGTTCATTTTTCTCTGATTATCATTCAGAAAGACCTTTTATTTCATTCTCTTTAACTGCCTGTCTTTGCCAGGAGAATTCTTCTGATCTTTCACTGTTTGTTTTGTTTATTTTTTGCTGGCTTTTGTTTGTTTGTTTGTTTTCATTGGCCCAGTTTCATTGTAAGAGGCTTGCCCAGAAACACACTAGAGGATGGATCTTGTAAGACTCAGTTTGACTGTAACTATGGAAGTTGCCTGGTCTTAGATAGCACATGAGCAGGGTTGCTAAAAACTTTCTATGAAGCTTCTACCAAATAATATTTAAATTACTTTGGTCAGACACTGCTATAACACCAGGATAAAGTGGGGTACCATATGGTGAAATTAAGTGACACAGACATTTACAAGTGAGTAATTCTAAAGTGACATTAAGTTAAGGACACATAAAAATATTTTAATTTTTTAATCACATCATATTTTATTTCACCACAGTTTTTACAGAACCAATTAAGAGATTTCACACATCTAAAGCATTGTATCTCAGTAGCAAATATAATATTCAAATAATGGCACTATTTCCAAACCTGTCAGTCTTTTTTTTTTTTTTTTTCTATTTATTATGCCATTTCCTGGTCCATAAACTTTAAGAGGAGTTGAAAGGTATTTCCCTATTTATAGCCTGCAGATCGGCAGATATGCATGAACTATGCAGCTCATCATACTTTCAGACTCACCAAACTCTCCTGGATTGCAAAGCTCTTAAATAACCACTAAAGCAGGTTTTGAACTCTCTCTGCCTGTTACAATGAACAGATTTATCTACCTGATCCCAATCCTTTACATTTAGCCTTGTGGACTGATTTTTTAAAAGATCAAATGATCCAATCAAGTGGCCTGGAAAAATCATACAAATTATTGTTTTCAATAGCATATCCCTCACTGTTATTTCAAGCTGGAATGTCAAGGGGAGAGAAAGACTTACTTTTGTACAAAAGAATATTTAATAGTTTTGTTTATTTCCCTTAGTCTTTCATATGCTACTGATGAGGTTGATAATCAATCCAGAATTCTTTGTGACACACCCCTTATTTTTATCCCTACCTTCATTCCAAAGTAAACAGTAACCCATTATTTCCCAAAGACAGTATAGAAGTATTTTCCAACCCCACTTCCACATCTTATGGACAGCCAGACCAAACACTTTTTATTTAAAGTATTTTCCTGTTTCAGCAAGTAGCCCTGCACAGTTGCAGAGAACTATTCTGATATCCAGGCTTACTTACTTACTACTTTACCTAACTTCCAGCTATGAACTTATTCTTCCTTGCTGGGTCCCAGTTTGAGGAATCAGGACAGAAAATAACAGGAAAAGTGGCAGGCAGTAGGGAGGAATTGCTCAACCTCAAGTTCTCAAGTAGCTGAGCCTGTTAGTACTGATGATGGGGTTGATTCAATATGCCAATCATTAGCAAAAGCTAGGTAGTTTGTTAAGGCAAAGAAAAACCTATAACTCTTTTTGGAGCTGCACACTGTAAGGATGAGAAGTAATGAACACAAATTGCCACAAGGGAAGTTTTGTTTAGATTTTAGGAAAAAACCCCTTTACAATGACAGGGATGAGTGCTGAAACAGATTGAGTAGAGAGGCTATGTCATGTGGATGTGACTCTGACCAACCTCATTTAAATTTGAAGTTATCCATGTTTTGAGATAGAGGTTGCACTAGATTATCTTGAAGGACCCTACCATCTTAAATTTTTCTATGATTCTAAGTGGTAATAAGAGCGGCATCCTGTGAAAATCATTGAAGTAGCAAAAAAGAAGTGATTCAAAAAAATTGTCTAATCTCTCACAAAAAATCACATCAGATTTGAAATAAATACATTTGGTTTTAATTAAAAAGCTTTTGTTGCTTTGTGCTCCATGCATCAAAGCGAAACATTTACTTTAGAATTAATTTATGAGTTTGGTTCAGAAAACAAATGATACTTCACCAATAATTTTAAACTGTCTGTGATTTATCCCTAGTCCTATGGTGGGTATGTAACTTCTTTGACACTTGGATCTGGCAGTGGAGTATTTAAATGTGGAATGGCTGTGGCTCCTGTTTCCAGCTGGGAATATTACGGTATGGAAAGTTGTCATAAATCTTGACTTGGAAAGCAGGATGTAGCATTTAATGTCTTTATAAATTAAATCATTGCAGGAGACTGGCAATATGAAACTTAAAGACATTGCAATTACCTAGACATAAAACTCTTAAGACCTTAAGCTTAAGGTTTTCCTTGCTGAAAATAACTGGCTGCAACTGGCAGTTTGGAACAGACTTTGTCCCATAGAAGAAGGTACACCCAGATAATTCCATACACACATCTGTAACAGTAAGTCTGTAAAGCCCTCTTGATAAACCGCTATACTCAGGAGTGATTTTCCTAAAAATCCTGTTATAACAGTATCACTGAATTCAGAAACAGCTGAAATTATATTTCTGCCAGTAAGAGAAGCACAGTGCACTGGTAGATGATCTCTGTCAGGAATCTTATTGCAAAGTTATTCCCCAAAAGCAGTGCAAAAGAGAGGGACTCAGTTGTATCTGATATAATAATTTTTTTCAATTAAATATTTTCCCCTTTAGATGTTTCTCAGCCACACTTCCTGTGTTGTTGTGTTATGAGACATATTTTTATTTATGTTTATTGACTTAGGCTCCAAACTGTTCTGAGGAAACAACTCGGGGACTTACTGTGTGAATAAAGCAAGCACATACTCATACTTACTTGCAGACCTGTTATGCTTTTGGCATGGTGTAAAGGAACCTTAGTGTAAAAAAGAATCATGGCATGCATGTTTTCAATGAGCAAAATGTAGCACTTTGAACACATTTACTTAGCATATGGTCGTTTGCTAAGAAGTCTTGGTTACGAGAAAATTTTTTGGTTAAATGGGAAAGATTCCTTCCCTGACTGCTAGCACAGACATTCCTTGTATTTATGGTGTTTTGCAAACAAAGGGGAAAACATTTGTATGACATCGGAAGCATAGTCTTCATGTTTTCACTGCCATCAAGATTTTTTTAAGACCTTTTCACTCGTGATTGCAAAAATATCTCAGGAATGCAGGCATAAAGCACTATTTTTGCAGAATTCCTTCAATAAAAGAACAGTTATAAATGTTTGTCCAAGGATTAAAAATTGAATGAAGTTTTTATGTTAAAGTATATCAGGCCTGCACCATTGCAATTTTTACTTCCACTGAATTTTCAGGAAGGAGTTAAAGAATCTTGCTAAAAACACATTGTAAAATCCAAAAGGTCAAATGTACCTCCACTAAGGAAGGAAGGAAGGAAACAAGGAAGTCATGAGTCATAGCTTTTGGCAAACAGATGGTGTCAACATTAGGGTGAACTGTGTTAGAGGCAAAACTACGGGATGCTACATATTTGAGTCTCTAAGTAGTATCAGTATGTCAGAGCATGTACTGGCCCCTACAGCTTCTAAATTCTGTCCCACTCTGTTTTAGATGCACAGATTAGAATCTGGACCATAATCTTTTCTCTGAAATCCTCCCACTCACCTTCATTTTGTGCCAGAGTTAATAACAGCTGAATAGTTATAGGATGGCAAGGGAAATTGTATTTGGGAACAAGGCATAGTTAAAAGCTTTAGATATGTGACTGTTTTATTAAAATTCACAATTTATCTCCGTTTTCTTCCTCAATAATTGACAAGCCAAATCTTCCACTTAGTCATATAATGCAATTCTGCTGACCTCTGTGGACTTGTTGTAGCTATACTGGTAGAAGAGAGTGGAGAATTTGGCTCAGAATACTGTAGAAATGCCAGCCATTCAGAAAGAGTCTATTTTATTGAAAACTTAAGCCCAATATGGTTGTTTGACACTGTGTTGACAACAGATATTGCACATTTTCTGTTTTCATTGAATGATAATGGATTTTGATAAAAGCTAGGCTACTTAGATTTTTTCGGTACTTAGTTTATTACAAATTATCAGGTACTTAGTTTATTACAAATTATTAGTTTATTACAAAATATCAGGAACCTTACTTGGCTGATCTGGGAGACATAGTACACATCTTTAGCGCACAGTGGTAACATACGTAAAGGATACATAATAAACCATGGGAACATTAGTACATTGAGTACATTTTCCTTTCCTGGGAGGATTCTCATTTCTACTTTTTAACAAAATTATTCTGATACAGTGTACCAAACTGGACAACAAGGTAGACAATCCCAACTCCTTATTGATCACAACATCCATCACCTCTCTAATGGGAGGGAAAGATGCCAGCTCTTCTTTGTCAGAAAGCCCTGACTCCGTTAAATAAATAAAAAGCTTGTAATACTGCAGCTTGACTGCTCAATATGTGTCAGTTACTCTTTCAAGGCAAGGTCATAAAGAAAGTAATGTTCTGGTAGTGACAGCTGCTGTGTCAGTTTTCCACAAATTTTCATAACAGCTCTTAGTTAAATTACAAATACCCAGGCAGCTCAAAGATAGCTGTTCCTGCTGATTTCTTGGTGATAGATACTGTTCAGTTATTCACATTAGTTTTATCAAATCTGTTAACGGTCTTTGTTGTAGTTTGAAAAAGAAATTGAACAGAGACCTGAACAGCAGTTGCACCAATTTTTCAGTGCAAGCCTGTATCATTTCTTGCTCCTCCTAATTGCTGCATATAACCATTCAATAGCAAAAAGGACAACATATATATCCATATTTACTGTATATACACATACACATCCCAGGTTGGAATTCTGCTCAACTTCTCTTTTTAAGGTGTCAAAAATAGTCTGTGTCATCTTTCCACCATTCACCTTTATTGGCTCATTGGCTCATTCAGCAGACTTCTGGAGTTCAACCCTATAGCATAAAGCAGTATCAATTAATTACCTTTGTCCATAATACCTTTTGTTGGTTCCACAGATGAGTATCAAACAACTATTTTTGCAAGGACTGATTGGAGGACATTTATTAATTAACCTTCATAGTTGACTTTTAAAAATATATTTAAATTTGGTGTATTATGAGGAAAACAAACAGAATAGATACAGTTAAAATAAACATTTACTTTGCTACATGCCACTGAAGGCACAAAAATATCTGTACATTCTTTATCTATAGCTTTTTTTCTTGTTTATTATCACAGCATCTATCTACACAGAACGATTTATGGGTCTTCCTATAGAGTCTGACAATCTTGAGCACTACAAGGTGAGAATTCTCTTTCTGTGTTGATCTGCCTTAAATCACACTTCCACGGACAAGTAGAACTGTGAAGAAAGAAAATGACCTGCCAGCTCTCATAGTGGCAGTCCTGTAGCAGCTAAGCTACTGCTGTGAAATTCGTATCTCCATAGTTACTTGTGGTTTTGTATTTATCAATCCTAAATATGCTAAATTGAAGGATCCTTATTTTCTCACTTGGACAAGTCAGACAGTTCTGCCAGTGCAAACCATCAGCCTAGGAAAGAACTCATGTGAGAGAGGTTAAAATGCTGATGTTGGTAAGGTTTTGGTTGGTACTGCTAGCTGTGGTGTGCAAATTTAACTCTCTGATAATAACACCATAAGCATACTAAATGGTCAGAAGAGCTTCCACTGCCTGAAACAGCTTGCCTTTCTTCTTTTCTTCACATTGATGGGAAGTCTATAGCTTCCTCTAACAGCACACGTACCAGCTCTGGATACAGAGGGCTAATTAACACCCAAAGACGTTAGTGGAAAGACTCCTGTTTAAGATTTTGGATCATGTTTTCAGTACCTGTTCTCCATCCCAACTCAAAGAACAGAAATGCTCAGTACCAACTGGCCTGGCAGAGCTATCTGGGTAGCCAGGAATTACAGTGTTCAGGGAATGACACATGGCTAGTGCTGTGCTTTTTGTGAACTGACCCTTAGAAAAGACACTAAATATATATGGCTTTTATTATAATCTCAGATTGATATGAAGTCACTGTTGTCATTATTAGGCCAGTTCAACAGTTTGATTGTTTTTCTACTAGGCAGTGAAAGCCTTTCAGCTTTGTGACTGAGTAGTTTAAATTGAAGCTGCTGAACTGTTCATTTTTCCTCTCAACAGAATTCAACTGTGATGGCAAGAGCAAAGAATTTCCAAAATGTGGAGTATCTTCTCATCCATGGAACAGCAGATGGTGAGGTTTGCAAATGGCAATACAAATACAGACCCAGAATCACTTTGTTTGAAAAACATTAAGAATCTTTCTATGCCTTTGATTGGGGTCAGTACTTAGATCTGTGGTAGATTTCCATATGACATATTATAAGATGCTTACTCATTCTTAGTAATGTCAACTATATCACTTGATAATTAGTGGACATAACTTAATGCACAATAACTTTATGCTCTGTGGTATTTACACGTTTCAACAGCCAATCTTTTTTTTCCTATTTCAGATAATGTACATTTTCAGAACTCAGCACAAATTGCAAAAGCTCTCGTTAACGCACAGGTGGATTTCCAGGCAATGGTAAATAACAGACTATTTTTCATTTTGAACAGTGGTTTATGGCTTTATCAATAAGCTTATCTGACATTTGGCAATGTTTTTAAGAACTCGGTTCAACTGAACATGCTTAAAAATCAAGCATTTGCTAGTGCATTTTTTATTCTTCATAAACAATTTCTTCCTCAAAGGATTTGCCTGCTCTTTTTTTTTTTTTTTTTTTTTTTTCTTCTTCTTGCCCTTTGGATGCTAGCAGGATTTCTCTCTTTTGAAGAATAATTTAGAAACTTTTAAAATGAATCCGAAAAAGAATGAGAATCCACCCTCCTTGTGAAAGTTGCTGATAGGTAGTAAAGGAGAGGAATATGAAGGAGTTGGCTTCTGGGGCCAAAACCAACTTGAACTGGACATGCCTGCCACAGGCACAAGGTGAAACAATAAAAAAGTGTATAAGGTATCCAAGTAGTATATCCAGAATCAGAAAAACCCAAGTTCTCTGCAAAACTTGCTTGGGGTAGCAGGTGTAGACAAAGGGAGAAACACATAGGCAAGAAGTTAGAGGATATAAATGAGGAATGAACAGGGAAATAATAGTTCTGAATTACATGCTAAGCTCTGCTTCTGCACTTTTTTCTTGGGGCTAATGACCAAAGTGTTTCCCTGCTATCAGATGTACTAGTCTTCTGCCTGGGTCCATTTTCCCAAGGCCATGAACTCCCCAAAAAGTTTGTAGGCCCTTTTGTTATTCCACATTTTCTGCCTCCTTCAGTGATATTTAGCAAACCCGGACTATTTCTCATGTATCTCAAATACTGTATGCATTTGTAGTCCTTCTATGGGGAATGTCAGTTATTTCTAAGAGTTAGCATAATTCATATGTGTGTTTTATTTGCAGTACACTGTTCATAATGTTCATGGCCCTGCTGTAATGCAGAACGTTTTGAATAGAATTCCACAACATTTAGCTGAAAGCTTGTTGCTTAGAGCCCAGTATTCCTAAGCAAGACTGTGACCCCTATTGCCAAGGCTATGCAGCAGGTCAAGGGCATTTCATCCCTAAGGGCATGTCAGAGCTCTGTTGTCTGACTTGATACAACTGACTTGTCGGTACTGAGGCAGTAATGCTTACTCCTAGGTTACAGAAGGTTTAGAAACACTTTTTCAGCAAGAATATGAATATACTGGAAATTGATGAAAAGAAGAAAGATTAGCAACTCCCTCTATTTTCTTGAGGCATCCACTTTCTTCTATATGGTAATAAAATAAAGTTCTTGTATTGTTTAACTAATGCAGAATTGAAAACATGACATAGGGGTTTTATGGCTTTTTTTTTTCTTTTTCAGTGGTATACTGACCAGAACCATGGAATTCCAGGCCTTTCCAGCAAACATCTCTACATACATATGACCCACTTCCTCAAACAGTGTTTTTCTTTGTCAGAATAAGTAGGCTATTCAGAGCATGCTAAGGGATCTGATACATCTCGGGGAGAATGAAATTATAACAGTGCCCAGGTTATATAGTTTTCAGGTGAATTGATAACAGGAACTTTGAAGTTTTAAACTTGATGTTTACATACACTTTTGATATTGTATATTAGCAAATATTATGCTAATACATGTTTTGGCACAGTTAACACCTGTTTGATAGAAAAAATAAAATCAGAATGTAAAATGCCATGTTCATTTATTGCCATCTTGCTTGAACTTACATTCTGCAATCCAAAGGTAGGTGGTCCATTGCAAAGGCACACTGCCAGATGAATGTGCTTGCATTTTTTAACTACAGCTGTAAAATGGGAAAGGACAAAGCAAGCAGCGCAAGTACCTAATTAGCATCCTCACAAGAACCAGTTTCTCAAAATTTATTTCCAATTTCTTGGAAAGAATCCAAGCAGGGGTAGGAACACATAATATTTAAAGCTGAAGTTTGGATAATTATTGAGAATATTGAATGTTGTGTTCAAACTTTATTCAACTCTTATTTGAAACCTTGATTCTTCAAAACTCTCGGTGTTCAGGTTTAAATATGAAAGCAGGACACTCATGGTAGCTATTTTTTCTCAGTGTTTTTTCTCGCTGTATTCAGAATATGTGAACCAGTTTTTAACCTCTAATCATCCCCTCAGCATTCAAATTAATCTCAATGTCATTCATCCCAGACTGGAGAGGAAGGATCAAAGGATTATGCAGGCTTTCTTTGCTTTGTTTCCAGTGAAATTATTTTAGGGAGTCTAAAAAATGATAGAGGCTAATAATGATTGGAATACTCGGTTTCTTTTGATTAGTAATTAAATCAGTCCTGTCATAATATAAGAAAATGATCAAGATAATTGGCAAGAGATCCACTGTAGATGAAATTATTCTCTTGTCACGTGTTTAAAAACTTCTGAGTTAGCATACTGCACAGGGACTGTGGTCTGTCCATCACAATATCTCATTTCTGCTATTAGCCAGTGAGAGTACAAAATAACCTGAAAAAGACTGTGAAGTACCCTGCCCACAAAGCAAGCCACTTCCTAACTCCCAGTCAGAGATTGGTTACTGCTTCTTTGTGGAAAGACAAGGGGTTTCATTTGACCCTCTAGACAAAAACATGGGGTTTAACCAAAATCATTAAAATGTGGAAGTGATTTGCTCTGTAACAGCTTCCTTCATTTTGTTAATGGCAATATCAAATCTGATTTTCCACACATAAGAACATTCCTCAGACACATCTTTATGTAAATGTAGTTGCCAAGCTGTTTGTAATGGTTAAATTATACTTTGATGGGAACTCTTCAGAAAATACTCAATTAGTTCAGGTTTTTTTGGAAATGCTGCCAATTACGTGACGTTAATGAGCTTTTTGTTGGTAATGTAATTAAAATTCAACTGCTATAATGGTTAAAGGAAAAAATTATAGCTCCAAGAAAGTTAACATTAAGCAAATATAACATGAAGTGGGGCTAATTAAATGTTGATTATATGGTCGTATGTGCATTTGCTGCACACAACAGTAGTCTCAGTAATGTGATTATTTTACAAATAAGATATACAATTCAATTGAAATGACTGAGATTTATCTCTCAATTTCTTCTATTGATACAACACCACAGAAACCATTGCAAAATTGTGGTGAAAGAGAGAAAAATCAAGCTCTTATGCCAGATGCTTAAAGGTTTTAGATACCCAAATATGTCAATAGGAACCTAGAACAACTTTCAAAATAACATGGTATTGAACTCACATAAATATCAATATATTAAGCTAGCTTTCATTTTCTGCACCTTTATTTATACTTTTGAAAATCCTATAAGCTCTGGACATTTGGCCAAATAAATTGGCCATTTGTGGATACTATAAGTAATAAAGTGATGCAATGTGTTGTTCACACCCTGTCCACAGGTCTGTAGTTGGAAGCTTCTCGAAGTGTTTGGAACAAGGGATATTTCAAGAAAATGTGTCAAATAAAATAACAGAAGGTGGGTTTTTCTCAAGGGATGGATTAGCTGTTTCATTATTAATCTGCCTTTATGTCTGTTTGTTTCCTAAGTGTCGTGGTTTAGGCCTGATTGGCAGCCAACCACAATGCAGCAGCTCTCTCTCCCTTCCCCTCCGGCAATGAGAAGGGACAGAGAGCCAGGCTTGGGGTTCAAGATAGGACTGGGATGGGGAAAAATCCCCTTTTTATGATCATGAGCAAAAGGCAGACTCGTTAGGGGAAGAAAAAAAAGAATATACATTTATTACAGACACTAACAACACATAACAGAGTAGGACAGTGAGAAGCATTGCCGTATCTTGAGAACACCTTCCCCCCACCCCTCCCTTCTTCCCAGGCTCAGCTCTGCTCCCGATATCTCTACCTCCTCCCCCAGTGGCGCAGGGGCAGGGAATGGGGGGTGCAGTCAGCGCTGCCACTTCCTTCATCTTCGGTGAGGGGAGTGTCCGAAACTTGTTCCTCCTGCTCCATCGTGGTCCCCCTCTCTCAGGAGACAGTCCTCCACAAACTTTCTCTGACCTGAGTTCCTCCCACGGGCCGCAGTGTTCCCCACACTGCTCTGTCATGGGTCACTAACTTTCTCCGACTGGATTCCCTCCCACAGCTGCAGCCCTTCCCGAGCTGCTCCGGCGTGGGACTCCCCCGCATGCTGCAATCCTCCCAGCACTGAATTACAGCAGCGGGGCTGCCTTTTCCCCTGAGACCCCGGCCTTCTTCGGGCACAGAACCCTGATCAACTGAGCAGGAGCAACAGGCCATAAATCAATGTCTGCTCCACCGTAGATCTTCATGGGTGGCAGGGGGGGGACACCCTGCTGTCTCACCACAGGATACAGGGAGGTCTCTGCTCCGGCACACCTCCCCCCTCCTCTCTTCCTCCGTTCCTCCACTGACCTTGGTGTTCATGCAGATGCAGCAACTCCTCCTCACAAGTCCCACTGCCCGTCACCACATCCCTTCTTAAATATGTTATCGCAGAGATGCAGCTGTTTGGCTCAGTTTCCCAAACAGAAGTGGAGCTGACGTGGAGCTGGGGGAGCTTCGAGAAGCTTCTCACAGGGGGCCGCTCCAATAGCCCCCTCCCCTGCCACCAAAAAACTCCACCACTCACTCAACCCAGGACACTAAGGCAATCAGCATACACATTGTCCAAACTCTCCACCATTCACCTTGGCTTGTAGGAAGCAGTTGTATGGATAAAACATGAAAAAAAATAGTGCATCATGCTGCTGTCAGTTTTGCTTCATTGTTTTTCATGTTGTTCCTTTATTTGCCTTACACAGTGTTCTTGCCAAAGAATGGGAATGTGTCTTCAGCAGCATGTGACATTTACACTGAGTTGCTGGAATAATCTCTAACCTGAAAGCTTTATGATTGAGCGACCATGTATTTTGATGACTTGGGGGAAAATGTCCTAGGATGCTGTAAGTGTCAAAAAAAACCTCTTAAAAACATATATAACATCAGATTGCTGGCCTGTGCTAATAACAGGTAATGTTGCGGTCATTCATTAGAAATGGTGCAGAGCACTTCAAATCTGCCATCGCAGTATCACAGAATCACAGGATGATTGGGGTTGTAAGGGAACTTTGGAGGTTGCCTTGTCCCACCTCCCTGTTCAAGAAGGGCCATCTACAGCTGGTAATCCAGAACTATATCCAGATGGCTTTTGAATATCTAAAAGGATGGAGACTCCACAACCTCTCTGGGCCACCTCTGCCAGTGATTCGTCACCCACATATGAAAAAAGTGGGGTTTTATGTTCAGACAGAACCTTCTGTGTTTCAGTTTGTGCCTGTTGTCTCTTGTTCTGTCACTGGGCACCACTGAAAAGAGCCTGGCTCCATCTTCTTTACAGCATCCCTTCAGATATTTATATACAGTTGTAAGATCCTCCCAAGCCTTTTCTTCTTTAGAAAAATAACTTTTTCCGTTCTGCATTGCTGTCTACAATCACAATCCATGTTATAAGCACCACCACAAACATTCACCGGGCAATTATTTTCCCCATTCCGTTTTAATTTAGCCTATAATATAGGATCTTCTGTAACAGAGCTTCAACACAGTTCAAGGTGAAAGGGCTTGTCCTGAGGAATCAAGCTGAAGTGAACAAAAATATGTTTAGGGATTAGCCTTATAGATGAATAAAAAGTATATATATCTATACTGCAGACATAGAATATGGCATGTAAGAGCCAACACTGGGATACAACTTATTATGAGACAAAGAAATGATAGCTTTTATGACAAGGTTTTCTAAACTGATAAATTAATATCCTCAAAGTTTTGCTCCCACTTTCAAATGTTTTAGAGGGTGGGTTTTCAGAAAATGCTGAGCACTTCCTGCTCTTCTTTTCTCTTTTGAATAAGAATGTCACACTTCAGATTGTGTGAGATATCACAAAAAAATACCACTTCAGACAATGAAACTTAGTCTTCAGATATCTGTTATATAAACAAGGAATACAAGCCTCTGAGGATGGGACATAATTGTTCTGAACTGAGTGGACAGGCCCTTGTTACATAGCCACAGATAGTCATTTACAAGTCAGTTTCCACTATGATCCTATTTAGCTTTTACAAAACAAAGCTAGAGCTGCAAAGCAAAAACTGCTTTATTCTAGGAACAGAAGCATATATAAATAGTAGAAAATGACTGGTTCCACACCAAACCGTTCATTCCCCAACACCTATTTTCATTATCTACCTCATTCATGCTGTATGACTTGTACATATCAATGAACGTGCAATCCTCATACCTCAAAAGTGGAGCTACATGCCTTGCTTCACTTAGGATTACTGCAGCAACAAAGAAGAAGAGGCCTGAAGAGAAAAAATAGCATTAGAAAACCAAGTATAACCTCAGCCAGGCTCCAGAATATGGTTGGAGTTATACTCATTTTACTCAGATATCAAGTCAAATTCAGAATACATGCAATACTTTCCAGTTTGCCAGTCAGTTCCAATTACAAGGCACAGCTGTTTAGAACATTTTATAGAGTCATTTGAAGGCTATATATTTAATCTGAATAATTCATAGTATTTGCTAAGAGCATTTGGTATTACTTTCAATTATGAACATTGTCTTCACAGAATGTAAAGTAACTAGTACATACTTGGCCAGCTCTTCTGCTTGCACAAATTGATGCAGCTCCATTGACTTCAAATGGAGCAATTCCAACTTATGTGAATAGACAGTGTGGGCTACAGCACAGTTACAATAGCTCTTTTTCTTGAGTTACAAACCCATCAGCATCCATGGCAGTGAGCATGGAGTTGCATGCTGTGGAAAGGCTTACAGACCCTACATTATTCCTCCATTTCAGAAAGCCATTCTTGCTCTCCAAAGTGTAGCCATGGAGTTGCATGCATACATATGCACACATTTGTGTGTGTTATGTATATGTACACATGTATGTATGTAATATGATGCATATGTATGTATGTACTTACACATATGTTCTTCCTATATATGTTGCACTAGTTCTCAGAAAGGGAATGCAGAGCTCTTTTGGCTGATAACTATGTAGCAATGATAGGAAAACAAAAGGGGATACACAGCCCAGCCTCTGAACTCATAGTTGACAAGGTTAGGGAGAGAATGCTTTCCATGAAATGTAAGAAAGAAAAGGGTGTGGTCCTGTGGTCATACCCCAAGATACATCATCCTCCCTCCCATGTTCTTTAGATATGTAATGGATAATAATATAATAATAACAATAAATATGTAATGAAGAAAAACACAGAAAAATGTGGGTGTTTCACTTTTTCGAAAGCATTTGTTGGGGGCTTTTTTACTTTCAAAAGCCAGCCACTTCCTAATTCATTAAAATGCTCAAATCTTGACAATTTATTTTTCTCTTGTACCAACAGTTAAAGAGTTGAAAGAAACATCCTAGAAAATTATCACATTCAGAGTATGCTAGCCAGTTATAACAAATACATTGGTCCTAATGTTCTGAAAAGCCATACCAGCTGGAAATGTCACTGCTAGAGCACCAGGTTCAGTGTGCAGCTGGTAAGAATTCTGCTTCTCATTTTACCTACTCTGTAACTTTCCCCACAGATTTTTTTGTCCAGTGAGTGCAGTACACTGTCCTTAATAGCAGGCATTACCTGGAGCTGAAATGATGGTGCAGGAAAGTTTGATCAACTCCAGATACAGTGAACCCAAAATAACATTTTTAATGACCCCAAGTGAATCATAAAAAACATTTAGATGAAACTTTCCTGAAGGCAGGTTGCTTTCAGGTTCCATCTCTTAGTCTGACTCAGCTGAAGTACTGTCTCATATGTGAACTATAATATAGAGAAGAGTGAGGTTGCCCTTGACTTTTGCCAAAAGGTGCCACATAACTATTGTATTTTACAATGTGAAAGGAAAAAACCTGAGTATATATGCATGTTTCATACACTCGTTACAATTTTCTACTTCTGTTTGGTAACCCTTGTTTGCTGTGCTCTTGAAATATGTGTTAATATAGATTCCGTTATGGCAGCTGAATGTTGCATGGTTCTTCATGGCAATTCACTTCTTTCCTGTACTTTTTATTGTTTGTGTATCACTTGAAAATCAAATAATCAGTCACCTTCTAGATGCTAGATGACCTGCTAGATGATATAGCCTGTGTAACAACCTGCCCAGCCAGGTGCACTGAGCTGCTCTGTCTCATATATTTTTTTCTGAAATCATCCTACTGTAAACAAGGAACTTTATCTGACACAAGAAAATATACAGAGCTAAACAAAAAGAAAAGAACTGCCTGTTTCCTGGAGGAGAAGATATTGTCTTACATTCTGTATTGCCTGTTTAACAAGCTACGTATCTTTAACTCAACACGAAGCGAGATAATTGTCTGCAGCGATCCATTTCAACCAGTGTGTATGTGTCATCCCGGTGTGAAAAAAGGTCTTAGCGGCCCTTTGATCACCATCTGCTGTCCTGCCGGGGTACTGCAGGGCCGGGCAGGCTGCCTTCACCCGCGGGAGCCGCACGGCTGGCCAGCTTCGTGGAGGGGCTGCCTTCTAGAGCGTAGCGCTGCGCTTAAACTGGGATTTTGCATCCCCTGTATTACGCTCATAAAGTCTAAATAGAAAGTAGATTTGAAAATGATTCTGACACGAAGACGACAAAGTATCTCAGTGAAATCATCATCTCATGAAAATAAGCAGATTTGGGGTATAAAGTTGTTTCAAGGCTAATTTTGGCTCCTTTGGCACCATATCTTAGATATTACACAGTTGTTTGCCTGGGGAAGGTTGGTATATGGAGGTAGTCATTCTGGTTGTTTCAAACAAAAAAAATCTGAAAAGATACGGTTGATAAATATGTATGCAAGCTTGTATAACCTATGCCAAACAATGGCTGGGAATCCGTGACTGAATGGATGTGAAAAATGCAATTAGGAGCAGGAAGAAAGAGGACATGGAGAAGAGCACATGTGTAAAAGTGGAGAAAAGAAGTAGTAATTAAAAAGGAGAACAACAAAAAGGCAAAATAAGGCTCTCAGAAATGCCTGAAGATAGAAACAGAAGGCAATGAGGAGAGGAACAGAAGCTGTGCTCTTAAGTTTTCAGCAGCAGCATTAGTAGACACTTGCATTGTAGCTAGAAATGACAAAAATGGACCATGAATCTCAGCAGATGGATCCAAGAGCAGAGAAAAATTATACTAACACACATGCAAAAAAAAAAAAATAAATAAAAAAAAAATTATGTGGACCGTGTAGTGAGAATGTTTCCCTAAACTCATGCTGTGGTACCACAGCAAGGTATTTAGGATAGAGCTCTAGAAGGATCCATTACATTTTGTTTGCCACCCTAACACTACGGTCATGAAGTTTATACACTGCCTTAATTGTATCATATGGGCTATGGTGATCTGGTTGTGGTCAGCCAGCAGAAAATTACCTCACTGAAGAGGATTCTTTGCTGGCTTCCTGGCGCAGTATGAGGGGAAATAAGAGTTTTTGCCGTAATATGTATGCTTTGTGCCACAAATTAGATCATGAGCCATTCCAGACTAGAGCACAGGCTGTCATTAATGCTCAGTGAGATCTCCACTGTGATTTCAGACCCTTTTTTTTTCTGAGCAGAACTGAAACTCAAGGTGGAGTCCTTCATATTTAACATATCTCCTGGACTGTCTGGCACCTTACATATATAATAATAATATTTCATTTTTTGTGCCCTTTTACATTTTACAAAGGATTATCATGATGTATGAAAGAGTCTGTAAAGGAAAACTTCCCAAGGAATTTCTTCAAGGGGGATATCTCACTTGTTGCTTCATAGACAGGATGAAAGACCCATGTTTCTGACTGGAAGGTTTTTTCAGCTGCTGGGGCCACTGACAAGCTTTGTGTCAATCTCTCCTATCTGTGGTCATCAGATGGCTGAACATAGTCTTCTTTGCCAATGCTGCCCCACAACAGCTATGAAATTTCCCCTATTACTGGGTGGTTTAGGACTTTGACAATAGTTGCATAGAATATACACCGCTACAAAGCTCAAATCTGTTTTGTTTTTTGGATTTGTTTTTCCTTGTAGGAAATGGAGCCATGAGAAAAAGGCTTATCTTGCATAAATCTGTAGGCCACAGTGTAAAACTCAATTTACAATGAATGTTTGGCACACAGTTCTCAAGTGAGTATGAATTTTCATACAGTAGAATTTTCAAAGTTGGCACTTTACATCTAAGGGTAATCAAATCTTTATGTTAAATTCAACCTGTGCTAGGTTTTACATAGTGGGTAGCCATCACTGCAGTACTTCACATCTCTTCACAATCCTTATATTGGCACAAGATTACTTGAAGAATCATTCAAGGGTTTTAGGGAAGTTGTGTTAGGTTATTGTTAACAGTGTATTAAATTTATAAACCTTGACTGAAAATTGATAGGTGAAGTTGATGATATTGATGTCACCAGGACTGGGATTCTAAATGTTAAATGTGGCTAATCAGAATTTGGAGAAATTGCTGCCTTAATCCCAGGCACCTTTAGCCCACTGTTTATCATCCTAATGCCCTTCTGTTTGATATTTACTTCTTTAGACATTGCTACCTCACTCCTTTTGCAAATCCATGTTAGCATTGATGTCATAAAGTAAGCAGAATGAATGTGTGAAATTGCTTGTAAAATTATCAAATGAAATGAATAGCAAATATGGTGACTTCTTTTTTTTTTAAGTTGAATAAGGAAACTGTCAGCAATGATGCACTCTCATAATGCTTACTAGAGCTGAACAGTATATATATAAGTCTGTGCAAAGGAGGCAGCTAGGCAGATCTCGGGATCCTCAAGGCTTGCCATAGTTCCAGAAGAGAGAGTAGCAGCTCTTTCTGCAACTGCTACGTATCACTTCAAAGTATAAAAAGGTAAGATTTATATGAACTACCAGTACAATTTGTTTGAGAAAACTGAGTGCATTATCTGAATAATATTGCCCAAAGTTTGGAATAGAGGTGCAGGATCTTTCAGCAAATCGGTGTTTTCCTCTGTGGTTATACTCATTGATGTTTGGAGTTAATGACATCATCATTTAAATCTTTTAATGTATTGAATTAGTTCAACAGAGAATGATCCAAAAAAAGGGGAAATCAACTGCTTGGGTTGCAGAAGCAATTGAGAGTAGGAAGTTTACCATTAGAACATGAAAGACATGCCTTGTAGTAAGAATTCAAATATGAGATAAATGTGAGATAAAAATTATGGATTTTTATATTTTTATCTCTTTTATTATCTTCTCTAGAGATAATTAATGAACATGAGTTTAAAAATATTCACTCCTTATAGACACAGCCTAACTATGGATCAATGGGGATTAAATTAGCAGAATGCAAACAAATTAAGTGGGTTTATATAGACGCTGATTTAAAACTGTCTAAAACAGATTATCACTCTATCGCCCTACAGATTGCCACTCCACTGACCCACTTTCAGATTAGTTTGTCTCAAGCAACTATTATTTTCATATCACTGTAAGATCTGAAAAGGAAATTTTATAGCACAAAAGTAAAAATTAAAACCTTAATAACTATTGATTTAACATTATTATTGTATAAAATTTAATTTAGTATTCCATCCTACTATGGATCTCTTTAGACTAGAACCATTTTCTTTTACAGAACTTTCCACAAAGCATTACAACATGGTAGGTAAATTAGATGTAAAGTACATCTGCCTGAAAAAGTGGTTTACTTGTAATTAGAAATAATTGCTATTTGCAAACAATTTCATGTCAGTATAAATCTATTTTATTCATTCATACATTTTCATATTAAACTATTCCCTTTTTTACTACCGTAACACCATAATTTGTGTTTTTAAACTGGAAATAAATGCAAATCTGACTTCTGAACAATTCTTTTTTGAAAGCTCAATGAAATTAAGCTAGTTAAAATTGCACATAGGTACAAAAGACATCTGCAGTAAAATATATAAACTAGCAAAATCGGGTTAAACAAGAAACTAATATTCAAATAAGTTTCTGATCAAGATTTGAAAGACATATTTGCTACATAATCTCTGGTGGTTCAATCTGAGATGTATTAAGTTTTTCATCTCCAATCAGAAAGAAATTAAAACATTTCCATTAGTCTAATATGCATAGGAACAAAAATTCTGTGTGCAAGATTAGCCTTAGTTTTCCTGCACTTTGACAACAGGATTGCATGGGTTTTAGCAGTATCTATTGGTGACATAAATAACTTAGAGTAAATAAAACCTTTGTTCTGTTGGGAAATGAATCCATTATCATGAATAAACTAAACAAATATTATTTTGCTGATCATCTCTCTTTCACTATAAAACATGTGTGTGTTCCTAAGAATAAAATAACAATTTCTTCTTTAAAAACTTTAGTTTCTTTAGCTTGTCAAAAACTGCTGTTTCTGCTTTGAGTTACCGATAGCAAGTACTAACCATTGAACAAACAGAACTGATTCTAAATTTTTAAAAGATAGCTTTTGAAAATGCTTATTTTATTAATAGGGATTCTCTTACTTGAAAATTGTAATAATTTCAAAAAACTGCATTTATACATCCCTCTTTTTAGTAATCTCCCCAAATTTTGATTCTGAAAAATGTAGAAAGAAGCTAAACATGCATTTTACTTTAAACATATTCTTAAGGCATGAAGTGGGACTGTTCACATCTGAAAGCTTGATAGGACTGAGGCATAAGAGTTAGATTCAAGATATACTGAAATCACTGAAAATCTCTTTACTGTCTACAATGGGTTTTGAACCTGTGTTTGTATAAGTTTTATATAAAAGAATAGCGTTTAGTGTCTGATATTACTATAAGGAGGCTGTAATACTGACTAGGCTATTCCTTTCATTACACCTCAGTGTCTCAGATTTATGTCTAATTTGTATCGTGGTTTAACAAAGCTACAGGCAACTGTAAACTATTTTTCTTTAGTTTTTCAGGTTAAGTAAAAGTATACTAGCTGTTCAAACTGCTGGTATACCACTAAACAGGGCAAATCTCCTTACGTATGGTGCAATAGCCAGACTTTATTTGCTGTCTGAGTAAACTCATTTACAGCTGTATCAGCTAGCTTGAGGGTCACTGCAATACAATCAGATCATTTCTGTGACCACAGCAGAGTCATCTCTCAAAGAATAGGCAGAGCTTTTGTTCCATTGTTGGAAGCCCATGAAATGTGAAATTATGCATTCTTTGGGATAAACATTGGATGTCAGTGTTGCACCACCGAATTAGAGCTCCAAATGAAACAGTGAAAAGAGTCCAATACTATAGTTAGGGTTACAATAGGACAGACTACATGGTCACTACAGTATTTGTTGGTAATATAGCAGAATACCTGCAAGTGTAGGAATGAAATCTCATGTATCAGGACATTACAAAAGGCAGAAAAGAATTTCCATACACACTGATGAAAAAATGAGCAAGACTGGCAGTGGCTTCTGGTGGAGGAGTGGGAAATTGACTCCATTGCTTGATAGTACAGTCCACCAGAAAATCTTATATTCATCATTTTATCTTCCTGGTTTCGATTAAGCTTTGCTTAAGATTTTGATTGCCTTAAATATTTTGATACTGACACTGAGGTATTCTAGTAAAATATTTATATTATTCATTAAGATTCTCGTAAAAATTAAGCTTCATAAAGTACCAGAAGCAATACATTCTCCCTAACCATAGGTAAAATGCCAGTCAACAGTCAAGTTTTGCATCTCCACATAGAAGTTATTTTATAATAGATGGAAGAAACAGATCTCATAAAAAGTCTTCTCTGAAGCTGGGCAGACTAGTGGGGCAGAGTAGAAGTCCTACAGCAATAAGGTTTTTAATGCAGGAGTTTACCTTTTCAGAGATGTTCATATAGCTCCCCCCCCCATTTGCACTGCTTAGTGCAGAGCCAACTCTAAATCTCAAGACAGAGTAACCTGCACCTTCTCTACACATTGTTCTTTCATAACTTTCTTATGGCTTCCTCCAAGGTATAGTATATTTAAATTCAGCTTGTTGTGACAAGGAATTACAATAGACAATAGATGTTTTCATTCAGACTGCCTTAGTTTATAAATCACTGAATTTCAATAAATAACTCCTCCGGTGGACCTGGAGGAGTTCAGTGCAGATTACATTTAGTGGGGAGGGTGGTTTTCAGCCACATCTTACTTTGCTGTTTACCACTTTACTTCAGTGCACTCATCTTTCCTATGTCCCTTTGTTTTTCAGACTGTAACATAAACTTCCATAGGAAAGTGTCATGGATGGCAGAAGGGCTCTTTCAAATACACAAGTATCAGTCCAAGTACATGATGAAATTATTTTCAGTAACATTTTGCTGATGTGAAATCAATTCAACTTCTGTTGCTTTACAACAAATTAATATTGTGATCCATACTGATTTTAAAGTTAGAATGAACAAGTATTTAATATTCATCATTCAGTAAATAAGCATTTAACCATTGAATGAATGGTATATCCAATTTCTTTCTCAAGGTCAAAAGTACCTAAACAAATTTTAAATTAATTTATTTTTCTATAAATTCATGCCATAAATTTAAGTGATCCAAAATAATTAAAAATAAACAATTTGGTTGATTCTGTAAGTAGGTTTCCTCTCACTTCCTGTTTATGCAAAGCACTTTTGAGTCTATTAGCCATTAGCTGCTCATAGTCCCTTTTGCACAGGGTTTTGTGAGCCTAAAATGAATAGCATTTCTTTGTTCAAGAGTTTGTCCTATAAGGGATCATGTGTCGACAGACTAATAATACTACATTAAATATTGAAAATTGTAGTGCACATAATTAGGGGATTAGAGAATGCCTTATTCCCATTGGTGACTATTCACTAGAAGTTATAACTGTATTACTTGCATGTGTAAACCTGTCACTAATGTGAGTAAGGGAATCACATCTTAGCAGTGGATCACCAAAGTATTTGTTCAAACTGTAATATTCTAGTTTACATTGAATAATCTCACATTAAAGTCAGTGAGACAGGTCAAGTTATTAGAGTGGGCATGATGAAGACACATAAAATAACGTGGCCATTTCTGTTAGATGGTTGAAGCCAACAGAATGACTTGTAACAGGAAGAATTACATCTGGGATACAATATTTTGTGCTTTGGTTTATTACCATTAATATGAAGTATATACCCCATACCTTGTATATCCCATATAGCATCATAATGGAAGCCCTTAAGCTGAAATAAAGTATTATGTCAATAGTGCAACAAGCAAAACTTGACATACCACATCATTAATTGAACACAAGCCAGTGGGTGGTGTGGTGGGGTTTTTTTCTAACGACTCACACTTATTAGTAAGTAATTACTAAGTCCAGAGGCCTACTGCTGCAATATCCATTATTTCAAAAAAAAAAACTTTTAAAAGGAAGGTGGAGGGCCAGAAGGAAAGAATGGGGAGCTGCTGATGTGACAGCATTCTTGACAAAGATTTGCTTTGTTTTCCTCTAGTGATTGAGCTGGAAAAAAACTAAAAGTCACACCAACACCCTAGTTTTGCAATAAAACAATTTTATAAAAAGAGATCTAATGCTTGCCATCAGCAGAACATAGAGCAGAGGAGATACAGACCTTTCTCATATTACAAAAGAAAGGGAAGGTGCAGTTGCTCTCAGCTCACCTTGCACTAGAACAGAGACTACATCTTTTGAATGCCTACCCAAGCCACTACAGTCTCCTCCATTCACTGGACATGGACCCCATCTTCACAAGGTCTCAGTATCTTCAAGTTTAGATCAGCATGAAGGATGTCTCTTTTTGATGTAATCGATTCAGAAGTATGTAAAGATGATTATATTTTCCTTTGTTGCCTTATTTCTGTTTTGACAGGCAATGAAAATGAAAAGTGTTTACTTTGTTGCTGGGATCCTTTTAATGATAGTTCAAGGCAGCTGGCAAAATCCTCTTCAGGATACAGAGGAGAAATCAAGGTAAATTCTTTAGATCAAACTTCTACAAACACTTGGCCTGAACTTTGTTTTCTTACAGTTTGAAGGAAAACATACTATGACTTAAAGATAGTTATTTTATATACTATTACACAGTGCTTAATCTACTATTGGAATTGGCAAAAGGTTTTAATATTGCAACGTATAGTACAGAAGTATTTGGTATTACAAACAATAGCTGCTTTAGTTATCCAAGAAGACCTTGTAGTTGTGCAATATCCAGTCTGCTATACTGATTCACTTTACTAGCCAACTAGTGATCAATATGCCACTTGCTTCCACTTTGTGAGTATAAAATAGTATTTTTAAAAGAAAAGTCAGTACACCTGTAGAAAGTACTATAACCATTGCCAATTAACAAGTTCTAAACTTTACACAGATCATTCAAAGCTTCCCAGTCTGAACCATTAGATGAATCTAGACAGTTGAATGAAGTGAAACGTCACTCACAAGGTACATTCACCAGTGATTACAGCAAGTACTTGGACAGTAGACGAGCTCAGGACTTCGTGCAATGGTTAATGAGCACTAAAAGAAATGGGTAAGCATTTTGGTCACATTGCTATAGATCTCCATATACAGAAACAGCCAAAAATCTAGCTGAATACATTTCTTGATTTTAGCTTCCCATCACAGACCATGTATAATCTTCAAATAAGTAAAGTATATTAGGAAAAATTATATATAATGTTAACATATTGTTAGAAATGGGAAATACATGCAAAATCAGTCAAAAGGATTTGGATAAATCTAGTGTAGTATCGCTATATTACCTGATATGCCATCTAAAAAGACTAACTCAGCCTCTTTGGGTCAGATTGTTTCAGTGAACTAATTAAGTTTAATAGGAATAAGATATGTAAATATAATGTAAATATCTGGGCCATTAGACCTTAATAAAACTTTCCTATCTATGGATACTCTAATCCTGAGGTTTCATTTGTTAAAAGGTAGCTAAGGTTTAAGTTTTGTTGACCACTGGATACTTTACCAGTATCACAAGTATACTATGGCATGAATTGGCATGGTTTTTGAAAATATCCTGTGATTAAACACAAGTTACCAAGCTGAGAGCGAGGATAACGTAAAAGCATGTAAGTTTATGTCCTGTATTCTAGAGAAGACCTGTCCACAAAATCCACAAATCTATTATCTTAATGCTTTTAAATCCCTGTGGAAGTCCTTAAAGTATGAAGTAACAATTTCTAGACATTGTAATAATTTAAATTCATGCACCTGAAGTTATTTATAATATTCATCTATCAGTTATTTATCATAATATTTAAATAATAACAAATAAAATCTTATCGTCTTATGCATGCTCTGCAATGTACTGGTAGTAATGATCTAATGACTGTGGAATTCCACTACAGCCAACAAGGACAGGAGGACAAAGAAAATGACAAACTCCAGGACCAGCTCTCAAGGTATTCCAGTTGCCACAACTTGTTACTCAAAACCAGTTTGAGCTTATTTTCCATTAATCAAGAAAGAAAACACCTAGTATTTTTTACAATGCTACCATAAACCAAGAAATACCTATCAAAAGAAATTACCTCACACCTGTTTTTTACAATGAAAGGGAAACATCTCTGTTATTTATTCCTATACCTGTGTTCTATAGCTATGTGCAGTGGCTTCAAATGATGCAGGTGGATGAGAACAGATTTCAGGATTTCAAGTAATAAAAGAGAGTAGAGAATAAGATAAAAAGAAGAACTTGGTATAGAAAATGGCTGAAGCAAAAAAAAAAAAAAAAAACAACAACAACAAAAAAAAACCACCACGTTATGTTGAGGAAAGGCAAACCAGTGAGACTAATGAAAGGAAAATGGCCAGACACCACTTTGCAGAGAAATAATAAAACACAGTATAATGCTCAGCCCTAAGCACCCAATCCCATGTTACATAAACCACTCATTACAGCAAAGGAGAACACAAGACCTGCCGGAAGCCATAATTTTGTTTCTTGACAATGTTCTTTGGAAAGAGTTGGAGGGATTGGTATTTTGAAACAAATAAAACAAAACTGCAGTAAGTGTTTTTGCAAAACAGATTGAAATACCTATATTCATTCTTCCTTTTGTCAGAAATTCCAAAGAGGATAGCCCAGATCACAAAGATATTTCCGTTCAAAACACTGTCAATATCAGTAACAAATCTGTGACAATGTCTCAGCTTCAATGAAACAGCATATCTCAACAAAATTAATGTTTCATTAAAAATGTTCCAAACAATGCCAGTTACCATGCTGATGAAAAGTGCAGATGGTACCAAATTAGGAGAAATGGTGAAATCCCAGTAAGATAAAAAATAATAGAAGTAGCTACAGGCCCTGAAAATTAGGTGAAAATTAGCAAATTCTGAAATAGGAATGCTAGATAAATTATTAAAGGAAAATATTCCATAATATGTCTACTTCTCAGAGCAACTTGCCTTCCTAAAGGCCAATGTGACATAATTTTGTGCTTTATCAGAGATAGAAGCAAAATGAGGTGCAGGGACGGAGAAGGTAATTGTCTTTCTCTATTAAAATGGAGGTGATCAGGCTTGAAATTGTTCCAAGATTATCACTTGGTCAGAATAATAATTAAAAGGATGTTCACAAAGCAATTAAAAATATAAATTTGAAAGAAATTAAGTCTGAACAGTTTGGCTAAGAAATCATGAAGACGAAGGTAGGAGGAGTGGCTTAATGGAAAATTTTAGGTTAACACAAGAACATGTACAAAAGTATGTCTGTATAATGAAATACAGTATGTTGATCATAGCTAATTAATGTAGCAGAAGACCATTTCAGTGCAGCTATAATTGCTTTCAGCACCTTATTTAATTTGTTCAGACCTAGTTCAGGCATCTCTACACAAGACTGTATCGCATGGCACAAAACTGTATTGCATGACACAGACAATACCTTCAAAACTGAAAGATATCAAGGAAAAAAAATATCTAGAGTAATATGAGAAGCAAAAAAAAAAAAAAAAAAACCAAAAAAAAAAACCCCTCTCCCTAATAAGAAATGCTAGTATGGTGACTGGGAAATACAAATCAATAAAGGTTAAAAAAAAAAAACAATTCCTTATGCAGTCTGCTCCTACAGTATTGCTTTTCTTTCAGCAATGCAATCTCCAAGCGTCATGCTGAGTTTGAGAGACATGCTGAAGGCACCTATACCAGTGATATCACCTCTTATTTGGAAGGTCAAGCTGCCAAAGAGTTCATTGCTTGGTTAGTGAATGGACGAGGAAGAAGAGAGTAAGAATCCATCCATTCCTATTATTAAATTTTGCCTTGTTTTGGGGCTAGAAATCAAGTCTGATGAAACCTTGATGTGTTTTTGATCATTCTTGCTGTACTTCATGTTTTTCTTTTGTAATAGAAGATACTGTGTGGGTGTTAGACTACCACTTTACATTATTAAATTCCAATACAGATTAAAACAAAGCTATTCAGTATGCTGTTACACTCTGAAAGGTCAAGTTATATTTAAGGTCAACATCTAAATCTAAACCAGACCTTCCTCTAACTACTGCCTTTCCCCCTTCACAGAACATTGCTTACAGTCTCCTTACCTATCATTGAGATTATTCAAGTCAGTGTCATCTTAAATTACCTGCTCTTTTTTTCCCTTTTGCAGTCAATCTTTTCCCCTGCAATATTTCCAAGATTAAATTTTTACCAATGTCATCAGATGTACTCCATGCACTGGTGATCATTCCCAGCAGTAACTGATGACTTCTTTTCCTCTTCCCATGCTCCACAAAGTCTCCCCAAGTTGCTGCTGCCAAAATAACTATAATTTTCTATAACTATTACTTATTTTCCTTTTTAAGACACCTCTACTTCCTTTGCTATGCTTCCCAGTTTCCTGGACACAGTGCTCCACTGTTTTGACCTATCTATGTCTCTGATTTCTTTCATTAATATCCTGTTCTCCACATACCCATTGCAGATTTCTCAAGCCTATTCACTTCATGTACTCACTCGTGACTTTACATATTTTTTCATGATAGTCTTACACTTAGAATGGCATTACCTTCAATCTCCTGCAGGCACCATCTATTTCCAACTCTGCATGGTTAGGAGCTACACCATGCACATGTTACTCTCCACCTTTTAACTGTTTTGTACTTACTTGTGCCTTTAGACTGTAAGCTCTTCGGGGCAGGGATTTCAGTTCATCCTCTGATTATATATTCTACCAGCTGTAAAGTACTATGTAAGTCTCTCACACTATATAAAAATATTAAATAATAATAATAAAACATAATCTGTAAGACAAGATTGTGTGCTGTAGTCAAGGAAGACTAAATAGGTAAAAGTAAATTTTGTAAATAATGATGATTTCCTGAAAAAACAAAGTTAAATAAATGAGGTCAGCTATATAGAGAAGGGAAGTGCTGGTGCCACTTCATAGTGATGTTCAGAATTGCAGTTGTTTTTTTGTCATGTTTTATTTTCATAAGAAGAAATTCAGTATTTCAGTACCTGTAAGAGAAAAATGACAACCTATATGTGATGAACTGAGCTTAGAAACCTAGATGGTTAAACATAGACCACCCTTCTGCTTTCCAATATTTAGTATTATTTACTGTCAAGCTTGCATATAGCCCTCTCTGAAATTATTGCATGAAGAGAACCAGTCTGCCTGTCATTGGTCCCAGTACACAGTGCTTCAGCATCATCCCGTCTTAATGGAACCCATTAAAATCTTCCTGTATTTGATAGGATGAAACAAGAAAGGAAAGTTTTCTATACCAGGCTCTTGGCATAATGGTTTTCCAGTGGTCAAAAAAGGATAGAGCAAGAACCAGGATCTGATTCCAAATATAAAATTCTATTATACAGCAATCAAGCACATGGATTTTATACAGGTGTTATAACTGAGTTATTCTAACACCCCAAAAATTGTTGCTGCTTGATTGTATGTATATTACTAGGACTTAAATCCAATTAAAACAAAGAAATGTATGAAAATTTGACTATATTGTTTTATTAGTGATATTTCTTAAGTAACAATTCTTAATATATCTACTCTGAGTTTTACTGATGCCTAGTCTACTTGACATAGACATTGCAGACTGAGATATGTTTTTGCATGTATGGCTTTTTCAAAAATGCTAGAGAGGAATTTAGACTCACCTGAAAGAGCAGTCCTCATTTAGTAAAGGGAGACTTCCATGCTTTATTCTATTGTGGAAATGATGCCTCAAAAGATGTTCTGATATACATCATTCTATACTGAGCCATACCAGGCTCAGCCCTTAACTCCTTAAAGTCACAGAAAATGTGCAGTGTACTAGAATCCTGTAATTAGGTCCTTTTAAACTGTTTGTTTATTTTGATCTGCAAATTTGTTGATAATTTTTTCCCTTTGAAGTTTCCCAGAAAAAGCTCTTGTGGCTGAAGAAATGGGCCGAAGACATGCAGATGGCACTTTCACGAGTGATATCAACAAAGTCCTTGATGACATGGCTGCCAAAGAGTTTCTAAAATGGCTGATTAACACAAAAGTTACCCAAAGGTGCCTAAATTTTGATTGTGCTATTCTTAATGTACTGGGGTTTTAAATGTATTTGTCATACATAGGGAAAATACTGCTAATTTTTCTCTTAACTGTTGCCGTATTTGTAACTGTGTTACAAACATTGTTACAGACCGTGCTGAACAAGGATAAGATCCTAAAGAGAACTCATTCCAAATATAAATTGTATTTTGCATCAGCGATGAACCTATTTAACTTGAGGGGAGTTTTGCCACTGAATGTTAGTAAGGTCATATTAAATTATTGAAAAATAAACCTCTTCTGTGCATGGGCATTATAAAATCAGAAATATTTATTGGTAAAATTACACCAAATTGATTATTCTTTCAAAACTGTGATATAAAACATTGCCTTAAACTGTGGCTCATCATTAGGGAATAGAGTACCATAATCTGTGTTCCTGTAGCAGCTAACTATTTAAGAACCATGCTTTAGTTTGCCTGTATATAGGCAAATGCTGTTGGCAAAGCAACATTTTCTATGTGAGCTCTGTGAACAGGTTAATATTTAAGAATTAATTGTTAATATTAACAAAGCATTTAAAAAATAATAAAATGCCAAATCAAGGTACATGTGAGTGGCCAGATTTTTTAAAATGTTGGATGTAAAAATTAATTACTTTTAGTCATTGAACTACTGAAGCACCCAAAACAACTAGTTGATTTTGGAAATATGAAACAATCAATATTATCTCAAAAAAAATAGAAGCTGTAATTAAAATACAGTTTTATTAATATTTTAATATTTTCATGTTTGTAGTTCAGCATCAAAATAAACAATTTAAGAAAATAATCTATCAGAAACTATTAAAAAGCTTTTCCTTTAGAAGTAATTGTTTTAAATCCATTATTAGAAAGAGGTATTGAGGGGTCTGTGGAACTAACATCTTCTAATTCTTAAACTGAAAAAATATGTTCCACACATATTTCATAAATCTTGGGACATTTATAATATATCCTAAATGTTGCTGCTTTTTTTTCCAGGGACCTTTTGGGAGAATATCAGTAAAAATACAGAATAAAAATGGGATACGTGAAGACCTTCATTGCATCAACTGCCAGTTATTAAGAGATCCTGAATCCATATTCTGTCATTTACATTAGATGTAACAAATCTATGTCACCTTGCATGCCAGGAAATAATTGTACTATAGTTTAATGTTGCCAAAGGTTTATATATGGAAAACCTATTGTCTAAGGGATGGTTATCTTAACAGCTTTAAGACCATGAAAGTTCCATATCTTCATATTTTCCATTTATTAGGACTGAAGTAACTCCATTTATATTTAATGATAAAATTATTTTTCTAAAAAGTTGACTTTACACACAACAGATTCAATCACCAATTATATGTGTTATTTGTAAGGGGCTGGCAGTTATAAATGCCTGAGAAGTGAATATCCCTCTTAAAACCTTTGTTATAAAAAGGCTAAGCTTTAAGGATATTAAATGATAGCCTTAAATAAATTTTTTCAAGCTTCTTTTCTGTTGACTTTTCATGTGTGTGTCCCTTGTGCCTCTTGGCACTCCATTTCATTTTATTCTAATATTCTAGCTTCACCGAGATCTTGGAAGTGGTTTGTTTGGAACGATGAAACAAATTCAACATTTTGTTTTGTCACATTTTCTCCATAATGATTCTCAGAAAAGAGCTGTGTGAACTTTGAATTACATTTAGTTGAAAAAGAAATCATGTAAGATGAAGCTAGAGGGGGAAACAAGACTGAACAGACAAGTATTCTTCATTAGCATAAATTCTGGTTTCTCAGCAAAAGAAGGAGGACAGATTTGAAAAATATTAAGTGCAATATACTCCATTAGTAGTGGAAACTGCCACATAATTTCTTCAAATTTTATAAGATTGCCAAGTAAAGCCAACTCAGATAGACCTGGGGTCATTCTCATCTGTGTTGCATTCTTTTCTTTCTTCCTCTGAGAACTTTGTCCATCATCTCCTGCATTTAGCAACACTGTACTGTAACTTACACACACAACTGCCATTTCAGTGACCTCTGCCTTCTCCATTATGGGCACTGAACATTTTGCTTGCAGATCTCAGTGTTTCTAGCCATCCAAAAACTATCATACTTTCAGCTGGCCAGACTCAAATAGTCAGAGGTGCTGTTTTGCACCTTTTCTGATACCCACATCCCCTTTTCTCCCCTCACTATAAATAGCAATATGCCAGGTATCTGTATTAAAATGTCCTAAAGGGCAAGTGCTTTAAAAGAAAGCCAATGGGTTTGGCAACTATCTAGTAGAATTTGATGTGAAGCAGGAGCATTGTTGAATCAGAATTAGCACCTATAAATTTTGCAAGAAATAACTAGTATTGTTTTGTAACTCACCTGCTTTTTAGATTTACAGTGTCTTCTCACTGACTGTCTAGAATTTCTGGAAAAATTAGATTGTCCCCGCAAAGTGCTACAGGAACCAGTATTCTCTAATTTCAGATCAGGATTGATCATACCCAACTTTGCATCTGAAACAGCTTCTTGACAGCAACAGAAAGGTGTTCTAATATCCCAAATTTAAACAATTAAAACTCAATAGAATCTTGCACTAAAAAAAAAAAAAAAAAAACATCACAGCATACAAAATACCACTGAATATTAAAAAAAAAGAGGGTGGAAAAATGTATACATATTTGTTGTTTATGTAATCCCATTTGTACACAGGGTTTCCAAGTGCTTCTGGAACTGAAAAAAAGATTCAATTATACAGAGTTGAATCCGTATGGTCCAGCAGGCTGAAATAGTACCAACAATCGACTCTTCCATTTCCACAGACTGAGCAATTGTCTTTAAAATTATTTATTCCACTATTTCCAGGATATTTAGTGCTCTGACAGACAGGATTCCTGAGTTACAAATCCATTTTCCTGAGGTGTCTGTCACCAGTGTATTTGCGCACCTCCTGATGACGGCTTTGTCAGCCATGAAAATAACAGTTTTCCCACAATTTTTACAAATTATATGCTTTTAGGAACAGAGGGGTATAAATTATTTTCTCTAAGTTATGCAGCTTGTCTGGAACACAACAAAAATATTTAACCTCTAATTTTCTAAGTCCCAATCTAGAGCATGAACCAAAAAAATACACTTTCTTCGGAAGTGAGATGAAGTTGAGCATGTTCCAGAAGTTCCAAACACATGTTTTAGCTCAACAGGACTAGGACTTACATATCCTGATATCACAGAGCAAGAATGAGGTATGTGCTCAATATTTCTTACACATGCTAGATGAAATTCAGTGAATGGTACAAACATAGGGAGAAATAAGTAGCAGTTACTTCTTTAAAAAGTGTCTTTACTAGACAATAGCTACCCATGTCTGCAGGCTGAGAGAGGGAAGAATAGCTGCAGCATTCAAGCCTAAAGAGAATTGCTATTTGTCTTTTAATTTTATACTCTAGTAAGGGAGAGAGATAATTCTAGACCTTACTTGCTGTAAGTGGTACACAGGTATAGAAATTTAGGAACAGAGTGGCCTGAAGATTCCTTTTAAATAATAGATGGTTTTCAAAGTCTTCAGGCAATGGAGCAACAGTTGTCAGTTATTATGTTGACTGCATTGCCTGTGGTGCTGCTGCTTGTATGAGGGGGCTTCATTTTGCTCTTGGCAAATAAAGGAAGGGCAGTGGGACTGCTTAAGGGAATCATGCTCAGGAGCATGTTACAACATTACCTGCAGGGCTACACCCTCAACCACTCTCAGAAACATTAATCTTCCTTCCAGTCAAGGACTCAAACTGTGTATAGCTTATTAAAATCACATGCCCTGGTGTGTATGAGGGGCATGTGATTTTAATACGATATGTCTTGACTAGCATGCTGTAAAAGATGGCACTGTTGCAACACCCTTCTCCCTTTATTAACTGTATTTTATAAGCTGAATGTGCAGCATCCTTCCTCTTCCACTGTATTTACTAAGTATCTGGAAAAATAAGCATATTGAAGGCAAACAAGACAAAATTGGAATTAATACAATAAAAATGAACAGAAACCTGAGATACTCTAACCATTCAGCTGTGTTCTGAGGACATGTGGCAAGAATCTTCCATTGCCAGGAAATTAATTTTATAAAGAAAAATACATAAACTTGAAAGAACTGAATGACAGTTGTTACTAGCCACATTGAAATGGTTGTCCCAATGACATAACCACAGAAAACAGGTTTTTTTCTCTTTTGCTTTCCTGATTTACAGTTAACACTCTCTTCACAATCCTCTCAAACAGAACTAGTGTAATAATGAATTACAAAACTGTCCTCGTGCCATTTCAGCCTTAAAATGCAAAGAAACAAAAAGAAATTATTAAAAAAAAAAAGACATTTTTAATATATTTGATATCAAAAGACATACTTAGTCAAGTAGAACTTGAACGTTCCTCAGTGAAAATAGTGCTTTTGCTTTCTGTTCCTCACAACACACTAGAAGTGAGCCACTGAATCAGTATAAAACTTTCTCCAGCATGTATTTTGTCTCCTATAGCCACACATTAAGACATCTGTAACACATTATTGCACCTGTAGACTGTATATATTTTAGTCACAAACAGTATTTTTTGTTGTTGTTCTGCAGAGAGCTTATGTTTTCTATTTTTCCTGTTTGACATCTCCAAATATTTCTGGAGGAAAGACTCAAATATATAAACAGATTCATAACAAAGTCTTGAGTTTCACTGAGGCCAGAAGTCTGAAAGAGACATCACATCTGGAAGGTCCACCAAGTGTGTGGGAAAGCCAGACTTCAGGCTGAAAGCTGTATTTGGTTCTTTCTAGTAAGTAGTTCTTAACCATACAACTTCTTTATGAATACTTTTATGTTTGGTATACAATATGATGGAGAGCTATGACTTCTCAAATTTTATTGTGTAGCAGCCACCGCTGGATATTAATTTCTTTAATCTCTTGGCATCATATTAATACATATCTGATTGCAAAAGAACACCATGGTATAAAGTAATTTGAAATATTTTGCTGGAGCAACTTTTTAAGCCTCAGGCTATCACAAAAGGCAATATGAGAAAGCACTAGAAGCACGACCATTACAAACATTTTTGGGACCATGGGTATTTTGATCTGACAGGAGGAACTTGAGATTTTGTCAAGGTGTGGAGAATCACTGCTAGGAACTATTGCAACAAAATGGAAAACATATTCTGCTATATTGACTCTTGCTGGATCACTCAGGTGGTTCTGAATACAGAATCAGGTCCCATAAACCTCCCTGGCATGACCAGAGTCAGAAGCACTGTAGATTATCAGACATTTTGGTCTAAATACATTAATCCATATTTCTAAAGATACTTAAAATTGCATACCCACCGAAACCAGCAGAAGCTAGGCGTACGCTTTGCCAGCGTAGGTCTTCTTTTCTTCTTAGAATTAACCACTGAGAAGCATTAAAACCTTGCAGATAAACTCTTAAAACATTATTAAACTAAAACTTGGCTGTGAAAAGATTGGTAACATTCAGGTATATTTTATCACAAGGCTGAGATTATAATTTGACTGGACTATACTTTGAGACACAGTGATGATCACTACTTAAAGGTCTAGAAAACAAAGCACAGATTGACTGAATTATATGTGTGTTGTGATTCATACTCACTGGCAAAAGGAAAATTTACCCCAAGAATGGGGGAGGGTTGTTTTGTTTTTCTTTCTTATTGTTGTTGGTAAAATGAACAAGTATATGGTATACCAGATAGATATGTAAGTGGAGCCATAAGACATTCTGAAACTCTGGTCGTGCATCTCACAGCATATATGGGACACGAGTTTGAAAAGTACTGTAAAAGACTGCCATTTCACTGTGAATTTACTTTATAAAAGTGGACTTATTTATACACATACATTAGTGTTAAGCAAGCTGTGAATTTGCACCACATTAGATCCTCCGTTGCAAACTTACCCTTAGCTGCATGGAACCACTGTCAGGGCAAACCAATATAGCTAGCCCAGTATAAATTCATAACCAGTAGTAACCACTACCTTCAAGGAGAATGGTATACAATAGTGAGCAGAGCATAACTTTGTATCTAGAAGAAGTCAATTACCTTCCATATAGATAAACCCTTAATGTTTGTAAATACTTTGGGTTACTCTAAATGAAATTTATCTATCATTAAAAGTTACTAAGCCACTTCTAGATACAGATTACTTAAGAAACAGCAGTAAAATACTAAATGCTGTGCTCAATCTGCAGAAGTGGAATGAAGGAACAAGCAGCACAACTTCACCGAAAGCTCTGAGAAGTACTTTGAAGGCAAGACTAAGAGCATTTGCTATCTCCCTTGGCTTCGAGTCTCTTCCTCTTGCTTTTGTGGATCATACACTTTTTTTGTTCTGTTTCTCAAGTTATAAAATACCTACACATCTCTCTGTGGTGACTGCTAGAGTTCTGCAAATAGAGGGGAAAAAAAAAATCTAAGATGGACCATACCAAAAGCACAAACCACACCGCTCAATAATTACT